CCTCAGCCTCCCAAAGTGCTGGGATTACAGGTGTAAGCCACCGCACCTGGCCTCTCAAACCTTACTGTTTGGAAAATCCACTTGGATCTTGCTGGTGCAAACAGAAGAGCAACTAGAGAGTCAACAAGATGCCAAACTAGAGAAGGTCTGAGGTGAAGTGAGCTGTACTATGGAAAAGGACAGCAATGGCATACACAGGAATCTTGTACTATGCAGTGACCCGGAAAACCACGGAAAACTTCACACATAATAATACAGAAAGAACAACGTGAAAAAAATGTTGCAAACACTGGAAGCAAATGCCAATATGCAAAAGCAGACTGTTGAGTGGGAGCACAGACTATTTATGCCTTCACTTCACTTCCCAAATGTTATGAAGCGTAGGGAAGAGCAGCTACATACCCGTGTCTCCAAGTTAAGGTTGGCAGTTTTCCCATCCACTGTGACACTAAGAATAGAGTCGTCCTTTACACTCACACAGTCTTCTCCAAATATGTCCCTTAAAATAAGCAGAAATGCAGGATTAGTGAAAAAGCCCAGCTTTACGTATTTGAGGAAAAAAGTAAAACTGAAGATAGGTCCTAGTTCTAAAGTAGAACACTGTATTTACTTTTTTTTTTTTTGAGATGGAGTCTTGCTCTGTTGCCCAGGCTTGAGTGCAGTGGCTAGAGTCCAGCTCACTGCAACCTCCACCTCCCAGATTCAAACATAATAATATAGAAAGAACAACGTGAAAAAAATGTTGGAAACACTGGAAGCAAATGCCAATTTGCTTGCAAAAGTAGACTGTTGGGTGGGAGCACAGATTATTTATGCCTTCACTTCACTTGATTCTCCTGCCTCAGCCTCCTGAGTAGCTGGGATTACAGGTGTGCACCACTGCAGTTGGCTAATTTTTGTGTTTTTAGTAGAGTCAGGGTTTCACCATGTTGGCCAGGCTGGTCTTGAACTCCTAGCCTCACCTGCCTCAGCCTCCCAAAGTGCTGGGATTACAGGCATGAGCCACCATGCCCAGCCTGTATTTATTCTTCAGACAAGCTTCTTATTTGCCTTGATACAGCTTATTAAGTTTATAAAACAGGGAAAATACACAGCTATTATTCAAGAATGATCTATTTAGCAGGCATCATGCTAGGTGGTTTATATACATTATCTTAACCTAGAATAATTTTGGTAAGGATCCTCTTTTACATGTGAAGAAAACAAGACACAGAAGTTAAGTGATTTGCTTAAAGCCTCAGAACTAGTCAACAGCTGAGCTGGCATTCAAATCCAGGTATCCAGGTTTAAACGGCTCCCAAGCCCACTAGCTGTCCACTCCTACTTTAATTAAACTCAGTACTTACTGAGCATCTTCTATGCGGCAGGTGCTGTGCTAGGAGCTGGGGATACAGAAGGCACTAAGACATTGCCTCTGTCATCGAGAGAAACAGTTTTGATCATTAATTTCAACATCGTCCCCACTGGTACAGAGGTGTTGGGAAATAGCAGTCCACCAGCAGGCTGAGTGCAGGTAAGAAAGGCAGGCAGTGAGTGACTCTACGACCCACGGACCATGGTCAGCCTAGGACAGTTAAGCACTGACAACACCGTAGTAAGCTGGGGAAGCGGGGAGTGGGAATCAACTGTTTGCATCTTCAGGCAATTACTGTTCATCATATGTGTGAATAAAGTTAGCTGGGACCCTAGCCCAAAGGAAAAGATTATATTTTATTTATTTATTTTGAGACTGAGTCTTGCTTGTTGCCCCGGCTGGAGTATATGTCACGAACTTGGCCCACTGCAACCGCTGCCTCCTGGTTTAAGCAATTCTCCTCCCTCAGCCTCCTGAGTAGTTGGGATTACAAGCACCTGCCAGCACACCTGGCTCATTTTTGTATTTTTAGTAGGGGTACTTTAGATGGGGTTTTGCCATGTTGGCCAGGGTGGTCTCAAACTCCTGATCTCAAGTGATCCACCTGCCTTGGCCTCCCTAAGTGCTGGGATTGCAGGTGTGGGCCACCGCACCCAGCCAAAAAGATTATATTTTAAATACAGAAATGTATTCAAAAGGATAGGAAAAAAAGGTTTTATTTCCATGTGATCCACTGTTAGCTTGTCTAAAGAAACCAATACATTTACTCCTATCTAATCCTAAGTATTTAAACAACTGGGGAAACAGCTGCATTTTTAAGGGTACGATTGGCTTTGAAGTTTCAGGACATGGGAACCTCCCATTCCTGGGTCGAATGGAGGCTGTCTCACACTCCTGTTCCTCAGAGTTGAATAGTTCTGGTGTATTTGTGAGAGGTGAGGGAGAGGAAGGGGAGGCGGGAGGAGTGGTGTCAGGAGGACAGGGAGGAAGGCCAGAGTGAAGGTCCAGTGAAGAGCCACGGCCTCCCGCAGACTGCCCTCCCCACGGCTCCCGAGGACCAGCTGCAGCGATGTGAACTTCCACTCTGCACCCCAACTGCAGCACGTGGGAGAGCGGGGCCAGTGCAGGGTCACACAGGTTTTCTATTTCTGTAGAGCCCCTGGGAACAGAGCCACCAACAGGACTGTTGTAGTCAAGTCCCTGGTCACCAACACCCACCTTCTACAATAGGGCTCTTTAACCTGGGGTCCCGGGATAGCCGGTGGGGAGGGGGTTGTCTAACCTCCTTGAAATCAAAGGTAGAACTGCATATATGTATGTCTCCCGCCCCCCGCCCCACAGCCTTACCTGACTGCCAAAGGGGTCAAGGATGTAAAAATGATTAAGATACTCAGACTTCAACACTGGCAGAGTTAAGTCCTCTGCAAAATGAGTTGAGGGAACAGAGGCTCCAGGGGTAGGAACCAGTAAAATCTGTGGCCTTTTCCACAGCCATGGAAATCACTGTGCCCGCACTGTTAGCTGGTTTTGTATGAGAGGAATGTTCTTTAAAATCAAAATGACAACACAGAGAATACTGTTTTGAAGATGTATGACAACTTCTATAAGCAAAGTCATCATGTAAAGCCTATCTTTTTTTTTTTTTTTTTTTTAAAGCCACCAAACTGTTGCTTTAGTGGGCCGGGTGCGGTGGCTCACGCCTATAATCCCAGCACTTTGGCAGACGGAGGCAGGTGGATCACAAGGCCAGGAGTCCGTGACCAGCCTGGCCAATATGGTGAAACCCTGTCTCTACTAAAAATACAAAAATTAGCTGGGTGTGGTGTCACATGCCTGTAGTCCCAGCTGCTGGGAGGTGGAGGCAGGAGAATCGCTTGAACCTGGGAGGTGGAGAGTGCAGTGAGCCGAGATTGCGCCATTGCACTCTAGCCTGGGCAACAGTGTGAAATGAAAGTTTATGTCTACAAAAAAAAAAAAAAAAAAAAAAAAAGGTTGGTGTAGAATTTTGGGGAAAGGAAGGAATGGACAGAAATCATAAAAGCCTTCTAAACTAGGAGGACACCTTACTTTGTTAAAATGTCTAATGGGGTGAGGGCTCACGTCTATAATTCCAGCATTTTGGGAAGCCAAGACAGGAGGATCCGTTGAGCCCAGGAATTTGAGACCAGCCTGGGCCAACATAGGGAGACCCTGTCTCTCCAAAAAAATAAAATTAAGTGGGCATGGTGGTGCGAGCCTGTGATCCCAGCTACTCGGGAGGCTAAGGCAGATTGCTTGAGCCTGGGAGTCGAGGCTGCAGTGAGCCGAGATCACGCCGCTGTATTCCAGTCTGGGCAATGGAGCAAGACTCTATCTCCCAAAAATAAAAATAACATAAAATAAAATAAAGAGAAATACTTAGTTTAAAGGAAATTCATCGCTTACAGACTGAGTCTAGAAGAACACCATTTTACAAAGAATTCACATTTAACAATACATAATTCTTGAAGATACAGTAACATTCAGCTAAGATTTCCGTACTTGTCCTTGAAGAGAATGTTTTAACCCTCGCTGACTGTGCCAGCGTCCTGAAGCAGTGTATTACATGAAACACCAATGGCTGACCTAGCAGGCCACAGGTGAGTGCGGAGCTGGCAGGGAACGGTTCCAACCCCTCTCCTTCCTGACAGAGAAGCAGGCCTCAGAGCAGTGCAGTGGCCTGGTCAGAGCCACACCCCAGTCCCTGTAGGAGCCAGAGCCGAATCCAGGCCTCCTTCTAGCCCACTGTCACTACCTTGTTGAGAAATAATGGGTGAAAAACTTACTGAAGCATGATCTCCAACCTCTTGCTATAAACGTGCATTTCTAATTTTTTAGAAACCTTCTGTACTGCACCTGGAAAAAAAAAAAGCGACAGAGTTCAATTTCTAAATTCCTATTCAGAATAATTTCCAAATCAATAATCAGAATCTGGTTACTGGTAAGTTAAAGTGGTTAACTATGGAATCCTTAAAGTGACAAGCATGGGCTTGTATTATTTGCCTGCTAAAGGAAATGGATACTTTCATCATTTAATTTCATGTTCTTTTTATTTGTATTTAAAAAAAATTTTTCTATTACATCTTTTTACCCTTTCTCCAATATTTCATGTTCTTATTAAAGAACCACAAAATGGCACTTCATATTACTTTTAGTTTTATTTCCCACATTTCTCAAACTTTACATTTATGATCACGGGCAATTAAAATAACTCCAGGAATTCTAGGGGCATATTCAAGCTCAGAGATCTATGAAGTCTTTTATCTAAAATGTGGTATAAATTTAGCATTCTATTAGATATAATTATTTTAATAAAAATTAATATTTAAAATAACTTGTCTATTAAATTACTCAGCTTTCCTTCCCAAACAAAGAAACCTGACAGTTTGGGAAGATGAGCCCCCTTAATATGGAGTTTCAGACATGCTCTGACCCCTCATTCCACAGCTCAGTGTGTCACCAGTAGCAAAAGAGCGCAGAGCTCACGGTCTGGCGCTTCCCCAGAAAGTTAAACAGTGAGCATTTGACCCAGTCATTCTACTCCTCGGTATAGATCCAAGAGAAATGAAAGCGTGTATCTACCGAAAAACTGACATCCAAATCTCCATGGTGGCACTATTCATAAAAGCCGTAAAATAGAAACAACCAAAGTATCCATCAACGGATGAATGGATAAACAAAATGTGTTGTGTCCACACGATGGGAAATTATTTGGCTATAAAAAGGAATGAAGGACCAATTTATGTGAAGACGGATGAACCGTGAACACAGCATAGCGAAGGAAGCCAGTCATCAAAGGCTATATATTGTATGATTCCATTTATCTGAAACGCTGAGAACAGGCGCATCCAGGGAGGCGGGAAGTAACTCAGTGGTTGCTTTGAGTTGGGGAGAATATAGAGATTGGGGCATCACAAGTAAGGGATATGGGGTTCCTTTTTGGAGGTGGTTGTTTATTTATTTATTTATTTAGAGACAGGGTCTTGCTCTGTTGCCCAGGCTGGACTGTAGTGGTGTGATCACAACTCACTGCAGCCTTAACCTCTGGGCTCCGGTGATCCTCTCACCTCAGCCTCCCAGGTAGCTGGGACTACATGCATGCACCACCATGCCCGGCTAATTCTGTGTGTGTGTGTGTGTGTGTGTGTGTAGAGTGTGTGTGTGTGTGTGTGTGTGTGTGTAGAGACGGGGTTTCACCATGCTGCCCAAGCTGGTCTCAAACTCCTGGGTTCAAGCAATCTGCTCCCCTGGGCCTCCCAAAGTGCTGGGATTACAGGTGTGAGTCACCATGTCTGGCCTGGTGTGAGGTAAATGTTTTAAAGTTGGTTGTGGTGATGGTTGTACAACCCTTAATATGCTAAAAAATCACTGAATTCTACACTTTATATGGATGAATTGTATGTGAATTATGTATCAATAATGTTGTCACAAAAAAATAGTGCAGAATTTTAAAATCCTTCAGACAAAACACACATACACCCTATATATATGAATATTTTTACCATTTAATTTCATGTTCATATATATATATATGTATATAAAACGAACAAAAAAGACTTCATTTTACAAAAAGGCTATCAGAATATAATGAAGAGAAGGCAACCTTGGTGGCATTTGATCTGGATTGAACAGACTAAGATAGGAAGCGAAGGCCAGCTGAGCTCTTAGAAGGATGGGGGCCTTAGAGCTGAAAGCTGGGCTGGTCCAAATATGAAAATCCGAAGTTTAGATAGGAAGAAGTCAGTTTGATAAATAATAAATACACATAATCAACTTCCTCTTTTATATATTTTTTATATATATACATGTGTATGTGTGTGTGTGTGCACGTGTGTGTGTATGAAATGGGGGAAAATACCAGAAATAATCTTATGGACTCACCTATCAACAGGAAAATGTAATATAAGACTGCAATTTCTTTCTTCTTTTTTTTCCTTAGAAAGAGTGTCATGCTCTGTTGCCCAGGCTGGAGTGCGGTGGTGCTATCCTAGCTCACTGTAACCTTGAACTCCTGGGCTCAAGTGATCCTCTCATCTCAGCCTCTCAAGTAGCTAGGCTACTTGTGTGCTACCATGCCTGGCTAAGACTCTGTCATTTCAAAGAGACTTCAAAAATTATGATTTCTTCAATGCACTTTCAATTTCTCAGCCCAAGTAATTACTTTCTCATGTAACACTATGACTTTTTAAAATAGTATATCATCTAAGTGTAGCTTTATTAACTCAATTCTGCACTCCCACACACCTATTTCAATCTACTCTATGGAAAAGACCCAAAATTGTCATTTCTCCTAAACTATTCTATAATTCAAACCATAGTTCATCTAATTCTTTTTAATCCATGAATTTCAACTGTATATACAACTAACTACTCGCCTATAATCTCAGCACTTTGGGAGGCTGAGAAGGGAGGACTGCTTGAGCCCAGGAGTTTGAGACCAGCCTTGGCAACATAGAGAGACCCCATCTCCATTTAAAAAAAAAAAAAAAAAGCCCAGGTGCAGAGGCTCACACCTGTAATCCTAGCACTCTGGGAGGCCAAGGTGGGTAGATCACTTGAGCTCAGGCGTTTGAGACTAGCCTAGGCCACATGGAGAAACCCTGTCTCTATAAAAAATACAAAAATTAGCCAGCTATGCTGGTACACATCTGTAGTTCCAGCTACTTGGAGGGCTGAGGTGGGAGGACAACTTGAGCCCAGGAGGTCGAGGCTGCAGTGAGCTGAGATCGCACCACTGTACTCTAGCCTGCATCAGAGTGAGACCCTGTCTCGAAAAATAAAGTAAAATAAAAATATAAAAAAACACAAAGACAAAAAACTAACCAGGTGCTAGCCAAGAAAGCTACATAATAGAACTTTTATACTTTAATTATCATTAGTTTTATTATTAATTACTAAAATAAGCACTTAATTGACATGTAAAAACAGTCTCACAAAATATATTAAAAAATAAATATCTAAGCTATGAAACTACTGAAACTTTCCAAAGTTTATGTGTGTGTATATATGTATGTGTATATATATTTGCAAATTCCTGTATTAATATTTAGACAAACTCATCAGACACATGAGATCATATTAAACACAGAATATACAATCGTCCGACACGTATGCCTGTCCTTAATAGGTCTGTGTGTCAAAACAGGACACACACATGCTGAAAACAGGTGCCATATAAAACAAGAATGTTATGGAATATAAAAACAAAATAATGTATTTTGAAAATATGTAAGATTTCCCCTTTGGTTAAGAATGGGGACACATAAATTGAGGTTGGTGGTGAGACACAGACACACAGACACACACACACACACACACACACAAACACACACACACACCCGCAGATACAAATACAAGTTGTTTCCAGAATATGGACTGAAGTGTCAGGAGGCTAAGTTATGAAAAGAGAGAAAAGTGCCATCAAGGAAGAATGGGATTGTTTCACAGAGGCGCCTTGAGAAGAGGGCAACTTTTTCTGTAAATGGCCAGATGGCATTCTAGGCTTTGCAGACCATAGGGTCGCTGTCGCAATGACTCAATTCTGCTGCTGTAGCAGGAAAGAGGCATCAGAGGAGATGAACCAGTGCGCACGGCTGTGCTTCGGTAACACCGTACTTACCAAAGCAGGCAGGCTAGGTGTGGCTTGTGGGCCACAGTCGCTGACTCTGCTCTCAGTGTGAAAATCCCAGGTTTGGATAGGAAGAAGTCAGTGTGATAAATAATAAATATACAGAATCAACTTCCTCCTGAGCAGCGTAAGTGTCATGTGTACCAGTTCTTGCAATACTTGTCACCTTTGAAAGGAGCAAGTGCTACTTATTAAAACTTAGCCCCGCGAGTGACAACTCGCCATGCTAATGTATCACATACATACCCCGGATCATTATGTTAAAGTTCATCCTGTCTGTTCTCTTTCTGTCACCACTTACAGCTAATCCAACAGGAAATACTGCTGGCTTTATTAAAACAACTCCAGAATCCAGCCACTTTGCGATATCCCCACGACTTCCACCCTAATCTGGGCCACTGTGTGCCACCTGGATGACTGAAGCAGATCCCAGCTGGAGCCTCTACTTTCTTGCTTGCCCTCTTAACAGTCTACTTTCAGCAAGCACCACGGTAATCCTTTAAAAACTATCAGATCCTGTCTCAGCCCCACTCAAAGCTCTGCAGCATTGCCTCATTTTACTCACACTCAAAGTCTGAGGTCCTTACAATAGCCAGCAAGACTCTATGGGATGTGCCCAACTCCAGACCCTATCAGGAAGCCCTGGGACACACCAGAATGTCAGATCCTTGGAGGGGGCAGATCTGTTTGCTTTGTTCACTGATGTTTTGCAAGCATTTCGAGGCATGCCTGTAATCCCAGCACTTTGGGTGCTCGGTAAATATCTGTCGAATGTTAATGAAAATATGCAAGCACTTCATCATCCCAGAGGAATATAAAACCTCATTCTCCATAAACTACAAAATGGGGAAGAACTAGGAAACACAAGGCACCCAACCAGCTCAACAAACGCTAAATACACGGAACACATGGAAACAGCACAGTTCTGACCTGTCTGCAATGAACCTCTGCTGCAATGGCCAGAGGCTAACCAAAGGAATGAATGTTTTTATTATTAGCGTCAGAGGGATCACTAATAAAATAGTGATAATTATTTTAAATTCAATTACTGCTGATTAGAGTAAAGGTACATTTCATTTTGGACTGGAGCATTAAGAGAAATAATCAAGATAAAGGCAAACCAACCTACGACAGGCCATGCATTCCTTCCTGTGTGAGACACACATGAGCTCTGTGGAGATGATCTGACGCCACAGCGCCTCTTGCTCTTCAGCGCCACTGCTAGGCAGAGCCCTCATCAGAACAGCCGATGCCACCCTGACATCTCTGTGATCCCTCCTCTGCCAAACGGAAAACAGGCTGGCAGAGCTCAGACCCTAAACATCACCAAAGACCTTGCAGTCACACAACATCCTAACCGGCCTAAAAAAATGCCATTTTTGCATAGAAACTTCATTTTTCAGAAAAGTATATCAATTTCTAATTAGTTGACTATTACAAAAAAGACTTCATTTTACAAAAGGGCATCAGAATATAGTGAAGAGAAAGCAACCTTGGTGGCATTTTACTTGAACTGAACAGACTAAGATAGGAAGTGAAGGCCAGCTGTGCTCTTAGAGGATGGAGGCCTTAGAGCTGAAAGCTGCGTGGCCCAAAGCCCCTGGGTGTGATTCTGCTCTCCGCACCTAACCCTCTTCCCCACGTCACTTTCCTAACTTCTGCACCACTCCTTACTCATGATCTTTTAAAAAGATCCTCCTAGGCCTGGTGTGGTGACTCAAGCCTGTAATCCCACCACCTTGGGAGGCCAAGGCAGGCAGATCACAAGGTCAGGAGTTTGAGACCAGCCTGACCAACATGGTGAAATCCCGTCTCTACTAAAAATACAAAAATTAGCCAGGCGTGGTGGCGGACGCCTCTAATCCCAGCTACTCAGGAGACTGAGGCAGGAGAATCGCATGAACCCAGGAGGTGGAGGCTGCAGTGAGCTGAGATCGTGCCACTGTACTCCAGCCGGGGTGATAGGCAGAGACTCCATCTCAAAATAAATAAAAATAAAATAAAAAAATAAAAATATCCTCCTTCAGCTGGGTGCGGGGGCTCACGCCTATAATCCCAGCACTTTGGGAGGCTGAGGCGGACAGATCACCTGAGGTTGGGAGTTTGAGATCAGCCTGACCAACGTGGAGAAACCCTGTCTCTACTAAAAACACGAAAAATTAGCCGGGCATGGTGGTGCACGCCTGTAATTCCAGCTACCCAGGAGGCGGAGGTTGCGGTGAACTGAGATTGGGCCATTGCACTCCAGACTGGGCAACAAGAGCGAAACTGTGTCTCAAAAAAATAAATAAATAAATAAAAAGATCCTCCTTCCCACCCTGCACACCTTTATTTTTACCACCTAAGATAAGTAAGAGAAAAACAATTTTTTTTTTTTTTGAGATGAAGTATCACTCTGTCACCCAGACTGGAGTGCAGTGGCGTGATCTCTGCTCACTGCAACCTCCACCTCCCAGATTCAAGCAATTCTCGTGCCTAAGCCTCCTGAGTAGCTGGGATTACAGATGCCTGCCACCACCCCCGGCTAATTTTTTTTGTGTATTTAGAAAAGACGGGGTTTCACCATGTTGGCCAGGCTGGTCTCAGACTCCTGACCTTAAGGGATCCGCCCGCCTCAGTCTCCCAAAGTGCTAGGATTACAAGTGTGAGCCACCGTGCCCAACTGTAAGAGAAAATTGACAACCGCATTTTTTCTGTCAATATTTTGTACCCCAGGATTAAGACTGTGACCCTAAGCACCATGTAAGAATCAAGGGTGCGGCATTCTTCTGTGGCTTATATAAACGCACAGCTGTCTCTTGTGTTACAGGCACATGGGAGGAGCCATTTCCCATGAGTTAATTCAACTAAAACAAGTTATCAAATGATGTCCAAATGATCATTCTTACAATTACTGAAAACAAATTCAAATACCAGTGACTCAAATGAATAACAGATTTAGATTGTCTAAGTATTTATTTGTTTATATTACAGATGCAGCATAAGAAATGAATTATAAAGTAGTCTGCTAAACTTTTTTCTCATGAAATCAAAGAACTAACTAACTGTGTATTTTCAAAGAACAATAATATTCTCTCAGAGCCCAGGATCTAATGGCATGTGAAGGGTAAAGGCTGAGGCTTCCCAGAATACTTCCTGTACGGTCACTTTCCCCAGCACAGCACATAGGACTACTCCATATGCCAGAGACTCATAGCTCAAAACATGTAAAGAGCGGGGTACAGTGGCTCATGCCTGTAGTCTCAGCCACTCAGGAGGCTGAAGTGAGAGGATCATTTGAGCCCAGGCATTTGAGAGCAGCCTGGGCAACAAAGTAAGACTTTGTTTCAAAAAAAGAAAAAAAAAAAAAGACATATTATGCTGACTTAAGTATAAAATAGAATCAAATAACACAAAAATATCTTCACTGTTTTCTCTGGTTGAAAATTGTCCCACAGGGTGATTCAATTCTGTTCAACAAATTTTATTAAATATGAAGATAGTAGCATATCTTCCTAATCTAACTGGCTCAATTCATCAATATTTTGGAATTTCAGATTCAATTATTTTTAAGAGGACTGCTTCTAAAAGGATTTTATCTTAGTCTTAACTACAGCCAGGTTTTTGCAGTATGAGTGAAGAGCCAGGATAAAAATAAGCAAAATACTAACAATACGCACTGCTGTGTATATTTTATATCTTAAAGATCACACAGAAATGATCAAGTTTGTTAGGAGTCTATTTACTGCTTTTTAGTTCACAGAAACATAAGAAAAATGAAACAATTAAAGGATAAAAATGAGTGGCCAGATGCGGTGGCTCACACTTGTAATCTCAGCACTTTGGGAGGCTGAGGCAGGTGGATCACGAGGTCAGGAGTTCAAGTCCAGCCTGGCCAACACAGTGAAACCCCATCTCTACTAAAAACACAAAAATTAGCTGGGCGTGGTGGTGGGCACCTATAATCCCAGCTACTCGGGAGGCTGAGGAAGGAGAATCGCTTGAACCTGGGAGGCGGAGGTTGCAGTGAGCCGAGATTGTGCTACTGCACTCCAGCCTGGGCAACAGAGCTAGACTCCGTCTCCAAAAAAAAAAAAAAAAAAAAAGGATAAAAATAAATGAACTCTTACCTTTTCTTATTTTGGGATTTGACTGAACTTCCAATATCACAGTTGTTACTGTATCTGCATACATATCATTAGAAGGATTTGCCAGCCACTGGAAAGCAAAAGGCAGAATTAGGAAGTGACCTACCTATAGTGACCAACCACAAAAGCTACGACTACACCCCACCAAACCATGGACTCTACATATGGAACTACTGCTTCCAGTATTTTCACTGAAATTCACTGACTCACTGTTTACTGAAATTAATACTATAATACTTCTCTAATATTCTATAAAGAACAAAATTATACTGAGCACTTCCTTTTGACATGTTTTATAGGCATTATCATTTAATTTCCATAATAAATAGCATGATTAATTTCATTTTATAAAAGAGAAAACTGACTCAAAAGTAACTTGCACAGGATAATTACTGGTACTGGGACTGAACTCAAATTCCTAATGCTTATATTTAGTATAGCATACGACTACAGACAGAATGTGAAGAGGGTAATTTTTTTTCTTTTTTTTTTTTGAGATGGAATTTTGCTCCTGTTGCCCAGACTGGAGTGCAATGGCGTGATCTTGGCTCACTGCAACCTCTGCCTCCTGGGTTTAAGCAATTCTCCTGCCTCAGCCTCCCAAGTAGCTGGGATTACAGGCATGCACCACCACGCCCGGCTAATTTTATATTTTTAGTAGAGATGGGGTTTCTCCATGTTGGTCAGGCTGGTCTCGAACTCCCGACCTCAGGTGATCCGCCCACCTTGGCCTCCCAAAGTGCTGGGATTACAGGTGGGAGCCACAGCGCCTGGCCAAGAGCGTAATATTTTAAAATATTTACTTTTGCTTTTCACACGGAGCCTCAGATCCCCTGGCTTTTGTTCCTAGGGTAAACAATCTCTGACGTGTTTACCCTAGGAACAAAAATATATTACCTACTGTGCATGTATAAATGAATGAATGAATTATAGAGGCAGGGTCTTGCTGTGTTACCCAGGCTGGTCTTGAACTCCTGGGTTCCAGTGATCTGCCCACCTTGGCCTCCCAAGGTGCTAGGATTACAAGTGTGAGCCATCATACGCAGACTCTAATAGTATTTAGTAGAATGAGCTAAATTAATGTCTCTAATAACTTTCTCCCTTTTTCTGATATTAACATTTTACATATTGTTGTGTGTAACTTCATGTTTATAGATAACTACTCCTTTTCACACTTTGTTTTTCGTTTTTTCTTTTAAGACAGGGTCTCTCTCTGTCACCCGGGTTGGAGTGCAGTGGTGCGATCTTGGCTCACTGCAACCTCTGCTTCCCAGATGCAAGTGATTCTCCTGCCTCAGCCTCCCAAGTAGCTGGGACTTTTGGTGCCCACCACCACTTCTGGGTAATTTTTGTACTTTTAGCAGAGACGGGGTTTCACCATGTTGGCCAGGGTGGTCTCGAACTCCTGACCTCAGGTGATTCGCCCGCCTTGGCTCCTTGTAATCCCAAAGTGCTGGGATTACAGCTGTGAGCCACTGGGCCTGGCCTGGTACTTTCTTTAGTTGCTTTTAGCCTTATGAATCAAATTTAGACTTAAATCACAGGATTGTATTGGGACCAAAGCTGACAAATCTTTTTTGTTTTAAAAATAGGATGTATGTGAGGTGGGTGGATCACTTGAGGTCAGGAGTTCAAGACCATCCTGGCCAACATGGTGAAACCCCATCTCTAACTAAAAGTACAAAAATTAGCTGGGCATGGTGGCATGCACCTGTAGTCCCAGCTAGTCGGGAGGCTGAGGCAGGAGAATCGTATGAACCTGGGAGGTGGAGGTTGCAGTGAGCTGAGATCACACCACGGCACTCCAGCCTGGGTGACAGAGCAAGACTCCGTCTCAAAAAAAGAAAAAAAAATTAGAATGTATGAATGAAATAGTTGACCATCTACCTTGGCAATTTATATACAATTCTACCTTGGGGCATAGCAGTAGATAAGATACCTCCCTGGACTATTCAATGGTAGGACTCACTTTGAAAATCCTTCTTTAAACTTAACAGGTGCCAATCTATCAAAATCAACCATGCAATTCCTTTGGTATCTGTCTTCCAAACTCCACAAGCTGGAGTTTAAAATTCTAACAGGAACCACATCACTTAATTTAATAATTTCTGTCCTTTCCAGATTTGGGTCACTTTATTGTTGTTTATTTGAATCTTCAAAATTCTGCTCTTTTAACGAGTGGTACCTAAGTTTGTTTTAATTTAACATAATTAAATTTTTTCCTTAAGAATTATAAAACCTTTTGATATAACTAAAGACATCCTGGAATACCATAAAATCAGGTAAGATTTATATGAAAGGACTATACTTACTACACATACTAAATACAAACCCTTAATTTATTATTAGGTTTTTGTGACTACATAGAAAATGCTCAGCTACTTAATACTTAATGCTGGTCCTTAAAACATATATATATATATATGTTTTATATACAGCAGGTTTTATAAGAGAGATACACACACACACACACACACACTTTCCAACAATATTCTTTTTCTAATTGGGAAGAAACTAATATTCTCTACAATTGTTCATGAACTCTTTTTAAAACTTTTTTCTCTCATTGTTTAGGTAAATGATCTTTTCTTACTTCTAATACCACCATGCCTGGTTCTTGTATTACAGTAATATTTTTGAATACTTTCAGAGCAGGTTTTTCTTGAATTTCTAATTCTTCCACATCACCTGAAAGAAAGATGTAACTATAAGATGTATATACTTTTCTGATAATCTTCCAGAGACCATTCATTTGTTTATAGAGACAGTTAAAGCAGCTACACAATGAAAAAGTTAGTAACTCATTTGTATAGTCAATTTTTAAACAGCAAAGTATAGCAACGGAAAGGTCTGAACATGTATTGCAAACATTCATCTATCTAGGTAGCATTTACCTCGGACATCAAACATTTTATCAGTAGCAAACTTAAGTGGTGTTCAAACATCTATGTTTTGTATACAAGAGATTTAGCCTTCTACTAGCATCTTTTAACGTATGACATAAAATTAGTCAATTGTTGCCAACTAGTTTCGTCTACCTTCTGTCTTCGTAAGCTTCAACATTCTACAGCGAAATTCTATTGTTCAAGAGACTTTTCTGGTCTTTCTAGCATCCTCTTACTCAAGGACAGTTCAGACATATTTTATTAACCTTCTATGTTATGACAGATTATACTAGTGCAAGGTTCCGAGGCTGTAAAAAAAGGTTCTTTCTACTGGTTTATTTTATGGTAGTACTTCATGAGTCATGAAGAGCGTGACTGATGGAAAATATATTTTGTAATATGAAGTATTCTTGCTTCATCAGAAAGTCCACACCTTTTAATTTAGTCACTGCCCCTCATGATGTTAATACACAAAATCTCGAACTCAAATGGTCTAATATGAAAACAGACTAGGTTTATTTTCTCACTGGCCTTTGGCCAGTGGTCATGAACTCTTACAAAACCTGCTGTATAGACTGGTATCGATAGAGCCAGAAAAATTATTTTCACTGATCAAAGAAAAGAAACAGATAAAATTTTAGGTATGGTCAAGTAAAAGAGACTTCAAACAAGGAAAAGAGACTGCTAGATTTTAAGTGGGTCAAAGATAAGTATTACAGAATTAAAAAAAATTTTGAGTATATTTTCTTTTTTAATTTTTTTAAAGTTTTTCTTATTTTTTTTTCACAGGACCATCAGGCAAGAATATGAGTGTATTTTCTAAAATTTCACATAAAGGCAATAATAACATGATCATATATATTAATAAAACATACAATTCTGAGACAATTATCAAAATTAAGTAACATTCTTTTCTAGGTAGAAAATTATCTTTAAAAAGACAGAAAACAACGAAATGAATTTCAATACACACATACCTGTCAACTTCTGCAGCTGGTAATAGAGCAAATTAAAGGGACCAGTATATGGAATGGCTTGGGTCTGCTTTACAGTGCTCATTGCCAAGTCAGTATAATCTGAAAAGAAAATTAGAATAGACTTGAAGAAACAATACCAGTCCTACAAAACACATACCAGGAGCAAAGAAAAAAGAAATAAAAGCAAAGTAAATGTCAACATGTTTTTCAGAAAGCTAACAAGATGCTCCTTAATTTGGTACCACCTTACATTTCCCCACCGATCTCCCTATGTCCCCACCTTTCTCCTTCAGTTAACTTCTGCTCCAGCAGTAAGAAAGCACCTCATGGCCAGGTGCGGTGGCTCATGCCTGTAATCCCAGCACTTTGGGAGGCCAAGGCGGGTGGATCATGAGGTCAGGAGTTCAAGACCAGCCTGGCCAAGACGGTGAAACCCCATCTCCACTAAAAGTACAAAAATCAGCTGGGCGTGGTGGTGGGCGCCTGTAATCCCAGCTACTCAGGAGGCTGAGGCAGAGAACTGCTTGAACCCGGGAGGCAGAGGTAGAAGTGAGCTGAGATCGTGCCATTGCACTCTAGCCTGGGCAACAGAGCAAGACTGTCTCAAAAAAAAAAAAAAAAAAAAAAAAAAGGAAAAGAAAGCACCTCAAGTTCCCAAACATACCAGGTTCTTGGATGCCATAGAGCTGGTATGCCAGCTGTCATCTGCCTTCTTTCCTTGGTAACTCCCAACAATCTTTCACCACCTGGCACAAGGGCTGCCTAATTTACCAAGCTTTTCCCAACTGCTGAGGTGCACTGTCTGTCTTCACATACTTATCATGCACTTCTATATGCCACTGAGCAATACTGGGACTAGCTCTTTCCAAGATTGCTTCCCTCATTAGACTGATTTCAAGGGCTAGGACTATGTGGCATAAGAGTAAGAGCTCAGTAACTCAGAATGAAGGCACAAGTCAGACAATGACCTATGATGCTATGAAGTCTGACAGCTGGGCAATCTCATAGGTAAATACCTCACCACTGCTGCTATTTTTCTTTTCCTTTTTTTTTTCTTTTTTGAGACAGAGTCTCACACTGTTGCCCGGGTTGGAGTGCAATGGCGTGATCTCGGCTCACTGCAACCTCCACCTCCTACATTCAAGCAATTCTCCTGCCACAGCCTCCCGAGTAGCTGGGACTATAGGCACGTGCCACCACACCCAGCAAATTTTTGTATTTTTAGTAGAGACAGGGTTTCACCATGTTGACCAGGATGGTCTCAAACTCTTGATCTTGTCATCTGCCTACCTTGACCTCCCAAAATGTTGGGATTATAGGCGTAAGCCACCATGCTCAGCCACTGCTATTTTTTATTCCAGCATAAAGTACATATAATGTATTAGTACCATGTAAATCACCTTGAGCACAGCATTTACTTGAAGATAACACCATATTCATTGGAAAATGACTTACTGATGGCTCAGTAAATTTATAAAGACAAAGAATGCACATGGAACTGTGTATCAACTTTGGGAAAAAAGCAGTTTACAAACTTAAATGTAATCTTATTAGTTTTGTGCAATTTTTCTTTTTTTTTTTGAGATGGCATCTCGCTCTGTCACCAGGCTGGAATGCAGTGGCACTATCTCAGCTCACTGCAACCTCCACCTCCATGTTCGGCCACCCGAGTAGCTGGGACTACAGGCACGTGCCACCACACCCAGCTAATTTTTGTATTTTCAGTAGAGTCGGTTTCACCATGTTGGTCAGGATGGTCTCGATCTCTTGACCTTGTGATCCACCTGCCTCGGCCTCCCAAAGTGCTGGGATTACAGGCGTGAGCCCCTGCACCTGGCCCAATTTTTCATTTTTCTCTACAATGAGCTTCAATTTATACACACACATTAGAGGCGTCAGTTATATAGTTGGTGTTACTTATTTGGATGTCGAAAGTTCCAACATAATGAAAAAATTAGGCTTTACATTAATACTTTTTTGCTTTTAAAGAAATTATACAAGTTTTTGTTCCTACTCCTTTCGGAATGGGGAAGGAATAGAAAGGCCCAGCAAGTGATGTAAAGGTCATAAAAAACTGAAATGCTTATGCAAAGGTCCTAAAAACCAAATGGCTTATCTGGGGAATCCAAAGTCACTTCAGAAAATAAAAGCCCACCAGTCTGTTGTGGAGGGTAGAAAATCGGGTGGACTCAGAAGCGAACTTATGTTTCCAAAGACGAAGAAAGTGATTTCACGAATCATTTCAATCTTTCAGTAGTTCACGGGAGGTGTTTTTTTTCTCCTCCCGTGAACTACTATAGGTACAAAGCTAATTAGCTAACTTGCACCTATTCCTTTTTTATTTGTCTGTTACTTAAAATTTGGCCACAAGGTGAAGAGAAGTTTTCACAGATTTTCTTTCAGTGCTAAGGTGAAGTTAGATTTGACATTTAATAGTATACTTACTGGACAGGTCGCAAGGAGAAAGTATGTGATAATTAAAGTTTCTTTTAACAAGTATTCCTGAGACCCGCTGGCCTTGTTCTGGTTTTTTGTCTGCTAAAAATCCCATAACCTGTAAAAAAAAAAAATACTTGAAGAAAATAGAACCTGGTAAAATGCAGTTTTTCAGACAGTAAAATGCAGTTCATCATAATGATGACCATAACATCTTTGAACTATGAAAACAACATATGGATTTAACCATGAAAAACATAAAATGTTTGATATCTCTATGATGAGGGCAGTCGCATTGCTACCAGTGTCAAAGGGAAGAGTCACAGTGGCAGATCTGGCATAGTTCAGTTCTAATCAGTTCAACAAGCAAGGAACTTACTAAGTGCTGGGGTTTAAGAACGCTCTCACTAGCTGCACTGTAGTAGGGAAGGCCGGGAAGTCCCCGTGAAACACACACATGCACTCCCTCAGGCTGGCTGCAAACTCACAACAGAGAGTGAGGTCCACTGATACAAGTCTGGGAGGCTGTGGTACACCTAACACTAAAAGCAGCAGCAGTGCTTTGAATAAAAAGGTCAATAAAAACAGGTTATGGGTGAGCTCATAAATTGAGGGAGAAACACTTTTAAGAGAATAAAATAACAACCACTTAAAAACAAAAATATTACAAACATGAAACCCACTATTCTTGTTTTTTTTGAGACGGCGTCTCACTCTGTCGCCCAGGCTGGAGTGCAGTGGCACAATCTCAGCTCGCTGCAACCTCTGCCTCCCAGGTTCAAGCGATTCTCCCACCTTAGCTTCCCAAGTAGCTGGGATTACAGGCACCCACTACCATGCCCGGCTAATTTTTGTATTTTTAGTAAAGATGGGGCTTTGCTACATTGGCCAGCTGGTCTCGAACTCCTGACCTCAGGTGATCCACCCGCCTTGGCCTCCCAAAGTGTTGGAATTACAGGTGTGAGCCACCACACTCAGCCCCACTATTCATTTTTAAAAAGTCTCATGTATGGCTGGGCGCGGTGGCTCACACCTGGAATTCCAGCACTTTGGGAGGCCGAGGCGGGCAGATCAAGAGGTCAAGAGATTGAGACCATCCTGGCTGGCCAACATGGTGAAACTCCATCTCTACTAAAAATACAAAAAACTAGCTAGCCCTGGTGGCGGGTGCCTGTAGTCCCAGCTACTCGGGAGGCTGAGGCGGGAGAATGGCATGAACCTAGGAGGCAGAAGTTGCAGTAAGCTGAGATTGCGCCACTGCACTCCAGCCTGGCGACAGAGCGAGACTCCGTCGCAAAAAAAAAAAAACAAAAAAAAAGGTAATTTATTTATTTTTTTGAGACAGAGTATTACTGTCACCCAGGCTGGAATGCAGTGGTGTGATCATCGCTCACCATGTGTACCACCAAGCTTGGCTTTTTTTTTGTATTTTTTGTAGAGATGGGGTTTCACCATGTTGCCCATGCTGATCTTGAATTCCTGAGCTTAAGGGATCTGCCTGCTACAGCCTCCCAAAGAGCGGGGATTACAGGCGTGAGCCACCACGCCTGGCTGAAACCCAGTATTCTTAAATATAACTTCTCTCAACTGCACGTAAATGAGCTCAAGGGAATAAACGCAGTGTGTTCCATACTTGTTTACCTTTAAGCAAGTAAGGGCAAACAGCAACCAGGCAGTGCTATATTTGTTCTCATAACTATAAACACAGAGGGTTGCATTTCATAGGATTTCTTAGGGTTATTTTCTCCTTAACTGCTGGTAGCTTTCAGAAAAGAACCTTTGCTCCTAGGAGATTAATTTTAATATAGTGATGTTGTACTTGAGAAAGAAAAACAACTAAAGGTAATGATTTTAAATCATTAAAATCATGGGTGAGAAACAGAACACTCCAATAAGAAACCCAGCTTTTCCTGAACTCAGTTCAATTCATCTTCTAAACTGTCCGACTGCAAAACTTTATTTTTTCTTCCCATAAATCCACCACCAGCAGAGGATGGGAAATACAGTTCTAGATTCTCAAATGAGTATATTTTTCTACAGGTATAAGAAAAACACTATTAAATTGGCCCCTGAGAAGTTTTTGAACAGTAAGACTCAGGAGTAACCACAACCATTTACAACAAAAACCTCATACCCTAAGTTTTGCTAATTTCTTTTTTTCCTCCAATTCACCTTCAAGAAAGGATATTCATTAATTAGCATCTGCAGGTTTGGCTCATTATGTATTAAAAGTATGTTGTAAAGTTGCTATTAACATTTTTTTTTTTTTTTTTTTTTTTAAGATGGAGTCTTGCTCTGTCGCCCAGGCTGGAGTGCAGTGGCATGATCTCGGCTCACTGCAACCTCCGCCTCCCAGGTTCCAGTGATTCTCCTGCCTCAGCCTCCTGAGTGGCTGGGACTACAGTTGCGCACAACCACAACTGGCTAATTTTCATATCCTTAGTAGAGACAGGGTTTTCTCCATGTTGGCCAGGCTGGTCTTGAACTCCTGACCTCAGATGATTTGTCCACTTCAGCCTCCCAAAGTGCTGGGATTATGGACGTGAGCCACAGCTCCTGGCCCATATGTTGATATTTAAGCCTTCAACTAAATCATTAAAAATTTGAGCCTGAGACTGGGCATGGTGGGTCACGCCTGTAATCCCAGCACTTTGGGAGGCCAAGATGGGTGGATCACTTGAGGTCAGGAGTTTGAGACCAGCCTGGACAATGTAGTGAAACACTGTCTCTACTAAAAATACAAAAAAAAATTAGCCGGGTGTGGTGGCGGGTGCCTGTGATCTCAGCTAATCAGGAGGCTGAGGTAGGAGAATTGCATGAACCTGGGAGGCGGAGGCTGCAGTGAGCCGAGATAGCGCCATTGCACTCTAGCCTGGGCGACAGAGCGAGACTCCTTCTCAAAAAAAAAAAAAATTATTTGTGCCTGTAGTCCCAGCTACTTGGGAGGCTGAGATGGGAGGATCAGCTGAGCCTAGGGAGGTCGAGGCCGCAGTGAGTCATGAATGCACCACTGCACTCCAGCCTGGGCAACAGAGTGAGACCCTATCTCAAAACAAAAAAAACAGAACATGGGAGTTGCGCATATCTCTTCAACATACTGATTTCAATTCCTTTTTAAAAATTTAAAATTATATATGTAATTTTTTAAAAGTTTTCCTTAGAAGTATTTCTAAAGGAGTTGTGATCAACAGAAGTAAAGATGCAGACTTCTGACAGCATCCCTCTAAAAAGGCAGCTCAGGCTTTCCTTAACTATTTCAACTTCAAATTCTGAAAACAGTACACTTCACTCTGAAAAATGAGCAATTCTCTTTTTATTTTTTTGAGACAAGGTCTTGCTCTGTCACCCAGGCTGGAGCGCAGTGACAGGACAATGGCTCACTGTAGCCTCAACCTCTTGGGCTCAAGTCATCCTCCCACCTCAGCCGCCCGGGTAGCCGGGACTACAGGCACATGCCACTGCACCCAGCTAATTTTTGTATTTTTCGTAGAACTGGCTTTCACCATGTTGCCCAGGCTGGTCTTGAACTCCTGAGCTAAAGCGATTTGCCTGACTTGGCCTCCCAAAGTCCTGGGATTACAGGAGTGAGCCACCGTGCCCAGCCTTGATTACTTCTTTTTTGTTTGTTTTGAGACAGAGTCTCACTCTGTCACTCAGGCTGGAGTGCAGTGGCGCGATTGCAGCTCACTGCAACCTCCATCTCCCGGGTTCAAGGGATTCTCCCACCTCAACCTCCCAAGTAGCTGGGATTACAGGCACCTGCAACCATGCCCAGCTAATTTTTTTAAAAATATATATGTTTTTAGTAGAGCCGGGGATTTACCATGTTGGCCAGGTTGGTCTCCAACTCCTGACCTCAAGTGATCCATGCGCCTCGGCCTCCCAAAGTGCTGGGATTACAGGCGTGAGCCACTGAGCCTGGCCGATTAATTTTTAAAAAGAAAATGTTTCCACATATTCCACCATATCTACACAAACATACATGGCTACAGTAACAAACAGTAAGGAACAGTTCTTTACCCTCAGATGTGGGAAGGAAAAGCAAGTGGAGATGTGGATTAAAGATCTATGAGATTCAGCTGCATTAAGATCTAATCTAGCTGAACATTTTCCACCTGAAGAAATGAATGAACAGAACCAAAAGAAGCCAAAAAGGATAAGGATAAAATTCCTGTAGTATAACAAATAGACAGAAATAAGCATATTCTTTTGACTAAAGATCCATTTTCTTATGAAGTACAGTCTTTCATGAAGAAAAAACAAGGATCGGATAGACAGGAGCCATAACCTTTTACCTTGGCTAGTTTTTCTCCTCTGAAGTTTAAAGTCACTGCTTCTGTATTCCGAGGATTATGAACCTCTATGTGAACTTCATCATTATCTTCATATTCTCGAATCAGTGCTGCTTTCAATCTGGCCATTTCGTTCTGTTCTCCATGGACTAAAATCTACATAGAATAAATGTTAAAAGAATATAGGGAAACATTATTCAGATTAATCATGGTCCTGAGTTGAATTAATTAAGTACATGAAATAGAGACATACTTGGAAGTTATGAAACTTTACTACTAGGACCTCCAGCCAATTCAACTTGTATACACATATTCATTCTGTTTGGCTTCAAAAGATCCTTATGTGGTACTATTTGAACAAAGAGTAAAGAAACTTCTTTTCCTTTTTCTTTCCTTTTTCTTTTTTTTGAGGTGGAGTCTCGCTCTATTGGCAGGCTGGAGTGCAGAGGCGCGATCTCAGCTCACTGCAACCTCCGCCTCCCAGATTCAAGCAATTCTCCTGCCTCAGTCTCCCGAATAGCTGGGACTACAGGTGTGTGCCATCACGCCCAGCTAATTTTTGTATCTTCAGTAGAGACGGGGTTTCAGCATGTTGGCCAGGATGGTCTCGATCTCTTGACCTCGTGATCCACCCGCCTCGGCCTCCCAAAGTGCTGGGATTACAGGGGTGAGCCACCGCGCCCGGCCAAGAAACTTCTTTTCTACTCCAGTCTTTGCCACTAATGAGATACACGCCTTTTCCATGTTTCACTGCTTCTATGTTCATAGTGGTAAAGGGCTGACTTCTGTAATCTCTTCTAGTTTTAAATGCCTATGACTCTTGTACAAAACTATTGCTACCCTACTGTGTCAGAAAACACCCATAGTTCCCTTTTTTTTCTTTTTGTGAGATGGAGTCTTGCTCTGTCGCCCAGGCTGGAGTGTAGCAGTGGCGTGATCTCAGCTCACTGCAGCCCCTACCTCCTGAGTTCAAGCGACTCTCCTGCCTGAGCCTCCCAAGTAACTGGCACTATAGGTGCACACTACCATGCCTGGCTAATTTTTGTATTTTCAGTAGAGACGGGGTTTTACCATGTTGGTCAGGCTGGTCTCCAACTCTTGACTTTGTGATCTGCCTGCCTCGGCCTCCCAAAGTGCTGGGATTACAGGCGTGAGCCACTGAGCCTGGCCTACTTCATATATTTATATATTTTTGGAGACAGAGTCTCACTCTGTTGCCCAGGCTGGAGTACACTGGTGTGATCATGGCTCACTGCAGCCTCAACCTCCAGGGATCAAGCAATCCTCCTGCCTCAGCCTCCGACATAGCCAGGACTACAGGCATACACCACCATGCCCAGGTAATATTTGTATTTTTTGTAGAGACAGGGTCTTGCATGTTGCCCAAGGTGGTCTCGAACTCCTGGGCTCAAGTGATCTGCCCACCTTGGCCTCCCAAAGTACTAGGATTATAGGTGTGAGCCACTGTGCCTATCCTAATAAAATATTTCAGAACCTAATGGAACATTTTATTACTTTATATATTTCTTTATTTAAAGACAGAGTCTTGCTCTGTTGTCCAGGTTGGAGTGCAGTGGCATAATCTTGGCTCACTGTGGCCTCAATCTCCCAGGCTTATGCAATCCTCCCACCTTAGCCACCCAGGTACCTGGGACTACAGGCATGAGCCACCATGGTTGGCTAGTTTTATTTTATTTTTGTAGAGACAAGGTCTCACTATGTTGTCTAGGCTGGTGTCAAACTTCTGGGCAGTCCTCCTACCTCAGCCTCGCAGAGTGGTATGATTACAGGCATGAGCCACTGTGCCCAGCCCCAGTGATGTATTTTAAAGGGTGTTTACAACAACAGCATTAGCAACCAGTCCCTTTTCATTCACTTTTGTAACTTCTATCTTACAAGACAGATTGTTCTTTTTATTGTTTGTTTGAGACAGTCTTACTCTGTAGCCCAGACTGGAGTGCAGTGTCGTGATCTTGGCTCACTGCAGCCTCTGCCTCCAGGGTTCAAGGGATTCTCATGCCTCAGCCTCCAAGTAGCTGGGGTTACAGGTGTGAACCACCACACCTACCTAATTTTTTTACTTTTAGTACAGATGGGGTTCACCATGTTGGCCAGGCTGGTTTTGAACTCCTGGCCTCAAGTGATCCACCTGCCTCGGCCTCCCAAAGTGCTGGGACTGCAGGACTGAGCCACTGCGCCCAGCCAAGATAGACTGTTCGTAGCGTCTCACACGTGGTAGATGGCTTGCGGCTGGGCATAGCCAGCACCAGCACGTGGCAGGGCTTACTGCTTGGTGGGGAAGGGCCTGGGCCTGGTTGCCTGAGCAGAATCCTGGTGCTGCTGCTTATTAGCTGTGTAACCTTGACCAAGTGATTTCACGCCTCAGTTTTCCCACCTGCAGAACAGCTGTCGGTCATGAAAATTAAGCAAGTCAGTTCATATAAAACACATGTACGGTGCCTGGCATGTGGTAAATAATCAATGTAAGCTAGTACTGATTACTACCACCAACACTACTAGTGTTGCAATTTTATCCTGCAGCTATACTTTTGCTAGAGCCGGTTATTACAGGAAAATGAGCATGAAGTTCAACCCAGGAACTTAAACTATCAGCAGAAGTAGACCCAGAGAGTGACAGGATGAAATGGGGCTGAGGATGAGGTGGTGACACCACACAGAAAGAGCAACATGGCTTTTCCTCCCTGGCTTGGAAATCTGGGGGGATGTTCACGCACACATTCAATAAGAAACACCTGGGAGGAGCCTACTCTGTGACTAAACTCTACACACCATGATGCTATGGACAGGAGAGTGGTATTTCTCGACCAAATAATCTGCTCATTAAGGGCCAGTGCTGTGAGGCCTATCATGCTAGAAAGAACTCAAAAACTAACAAAAGACTGCATGAAAAGGTGCTCAACATCATTAGTCCTTAAATGAAAATCAAAACCATGAGATACCATTTCACACTAGCTGAAAAGTGACACAGCCCAAGTGTCCATCCACAGGTCTACATGTGGATAAACAACATGTGGTCTACATACAACGGACCATGACTTAGGCATGAAGTGCTGATACATGCCACAACGTGATGAACCTTGAAAACACCGTAGACATTATGATTCCTCTTAGATGAAATACCTAGAACAGTCAAATTCATAGAAACAGAAAGTAGATTCGAGATTACCAGGGTGAGGGGAAGGAAATGGGGAGTTACTGTGTAACGGTACAGAGTTTCTGCTTGGAGTGATAAAAAGCTGTGAAAACAGAATGTGGTGATGGTTGTACAACACTGTGAATATAATTAATGCCACTGGTTTGTACACTTAAAAATGGTTAAAACTGCAAATTTTATGTTAGATATTTTACCACAGTAAAACATATTTAAAAAACAATGAGCAAGGCCAGGTGCAGTGGCTCATGCCTGTAATCCTAGCACTTTGGGAGGCTGAGGTGAGTGGATCACCTGAGGTCAGGAGTTCGAGACCAGCCTGGCCAATGTAGTGAAACCCTGTCGCTAGAGAAAATACAAAAATTAGCTTGGCGTGGTGGCACGTGTCTGTAACCCCAGCTACCCGGAAGGCTGAGGCAGGAAAATCGCTTGAACCCAGGAGGCAGAGGCTGCAGGGAGCCGAAATTGGCGCCACTGCACTCCAGCCTAGGCAACAGAGCAAGGCTCCATCCAAAAAAAAAAAACCAAAAACAACAAGCAAACAAACAAAACTAACAAAAGGCCATTTCTTCTGCTTTCCGATACACTTGGAAAGGGCACTTCATCTATTTTCTATGGACACATGCTTCATTAGTGTTCTTCTAATAAAAAATACACACTTTTTTCAGCTTACCCCTCCTTTCCAATTCCATCAAAATATCTAATTTATTTTTAATAAGTTACATCATACTTAAAAATATAAGTAAGTTGGCCAGGTGCAGTGGCTCACACCTGTAATTCCAGCACTTTGGGAGGCTGAGGCGGGTGTATCACAAGGTCAGGAGTTCAAGATCAGCCTGGCCAAGATGGTAAAACCCCATCTCTACTAAAAATACAAAAATTAGCCAGGTGTGTTGGTGGGCACCTGTAATCCCAGTTACTCAGGAGGCTGAGACAGAGAGCTGCTTGGGAGCCAAGGTGGGTGGATTGCCTGAGGTCAGGAGTTCGAGACCAGTCTGGCAAACATGGTGAGACCCTGTCTCTACTAAAAATACAAAAAAATTAGACAGGTGTCGTGATGTGTGCCTGTAATCCCAGCTACTCGGGAGGCTAGGGTAGGGGAATTGCTTGAATCAGGGAGGTGGAGGCTGCCGCAAGCCGAGATCGCGCCACTGCATTCCAGCCTGGGTGACAGAGCGAGACTCTCATCTCAAAAATAAATAAATAAATAAACAGATAAATAAATCATATACTAATAAGGAACTATATAGTATATTTCTTTTTTTTTTTTTTGAGACAGAGTCGCCCAGGCTGGAGTGCAGTGGCATGATCTCGGCTCCCTGCAAGCTCCACCTCCCGGGTTCACACCATTCTCCTGCCTCAGCCTCCTGAGTAGCTGGGACTACAGGCGCCCGCCACCACACCCAGCTAATTTTTGTATTTCTAGTAGAGATGGTGTTTCACTGTGTTAGCCAGGATGGTCTCAATCTCCTGACCTCGTGATCCACGCTCCTCAGCCTCTCGAAGTGCTGGGATTACAGGCGTGAGCCACCATGCCCGGCCACGCTATATAGTATATTTCATATCTATTTAAATCTTAAACTTATACTATTATGTGACTTGTCTTTCTCCTCTCTCCAAATGATCCTTGTACTATTTCTTATTATTAAGCATTTACTATGTGCCAAGCACCACATTAAGTGCTTCAGATATGTTCTCTCACTTGGTCCTTACAATAACCTTATGAGCTGTTATTATTCCTATTTACAAATGAGGTACAGAGAGGTTAAGTAACTTGCCAAGGGTTACACAGTAAGTAAGAGATGGAGCTGGCATTCCAAATGAGCAGTCATAATCCAAGCCTGGCTCTTAAATTATTGGAGAGGCAGCAGAAAATAATAGAAAAACATTAGGATTGGGGTTAGTAGGTCTGAGTAAGAGTCGGTTACGGAGAAAGGGTGCAGCTTGTTGAAATCAAAGGGGAGTTGTGAAGGCCAAACGCGAGCGCACGTGGAAGGCTCTGCTCATGGGGTATTGCATTAGGAGGTGGTGATGCTTGCTTTGTGAACTGCCTGCTGCAGTTTCCTGGGTATGCACTTCTTTTCCCTTTAGTACAATAAATCAAATTAATAAGACTAACCACATGAGGCGGTTTCAAAGCACGAATAAATTCACTGGTTTGCTGGTAATCCGTGTGAGCTGAGAAAGAAATGTAATCAACAGACATTTTCAGTGGTAACTTCTGTCCAGACATAGTAGTGATTTCTTCAGGTTCAGACATGATGTGCTGTGGAAAATGAAGAAAAATAACATAACAAACTACCCAGTTATAAACGTAAAGGTACATTTTCATTTTTTTCATGCAGTCATAAACTCATGTTAAATTTAGGACCTTCAGCACAAAATCATTCTAATATAACTGACTCAGTAAATATCAAATACTCATGTTCTCAATCAAGCAAACATTTAATGAGAAAAGTAAACAAATTAACTAAAACTCATCTATCTGGTGTGCTGTCAGTCAGAATCGTAACTCTATGCTTGGAAAGACAAACCTGTATTCCCAACTACTCTTGTGCTCTCCAAAGTCATTTCCCAGATATGTGGATACATTTCTATTCTGAAAATCTTTGTTTTTTGAAATAGGGTCTCACTTTGTCACCCAGGCTGAAATGCAGTGTGTGATCTCAGCTCACTGCAGCCTCAACCTCCTGGGTTCAAGCAATCCTCCTGCCTCAGTCCCCCAACTAGCTAGGACTACAGGCATGTGCCACCACGCCTGGCTAATTTTTCTATTTTTTGTAAAGATGGGATTTCTCCATGTTGCCCAAGCTGGTCTTGAACTCCTGAGCTCAAGTGATCCACACACTGTGGCCTCCCAAAGCGCAGGATTACAAGTGTGAGCCACCATGCCACGCCCGGAAATCAATTTTTTTTTTTTTTTGGAGATGCAGTCTTGCTCCGTCATCCAGGTTGGAGGGCAGTGGCGCCAATCTTGGCTCACTGCAACCTCTGCCTCCAGTTTCAAGCAATTCTCCCTGCCTCAGCCTCCCGAATAGCTGGAATTACAGGCACACGCCACCACGCCCAGCTAATTTTTTGTATTTTTAGTAGAGACGGGGTTTCGTCATGTTGGCCAGGCTGGTCTCAAACTCCCGGCCTCAGGTGATCTGCCTGCCTTGGCTTCCCAAAGTACTGGGATTACAGGTGTGAGCCAGTACTATTGGCTGGAAATCTATTTTAAATACAACATTGCCACTAAAGAACTTTATAGAACAAGGTAAAGTAATAAAGATTATCAAAATAAATAATCATATTTTAAAAAATAAAATAGATGTTAATGCTAAGAGGATGAGAATGTGATGCCTGGATGCTCAGAAACTGCCTCTCAAATTCTGCATGTATTTTCTACAATTTCTACATCCCTAAGAGCTGAAAACCAATGTTTCATAACAGTAGAAGGTGGTCAACCCAAACACATTCTACAGCTTTTTAAGATCATACATATTAGTAAACCTGTTCTTCACGAGATGAGGGAGGGTATTCACGTGTTTGTCTCAAATAGGTTCCTGTCCATCATTCTCTACTTGCAACCAGATGAGCACTTCTCAAACTTTAATTTGTACATCAATCACCTGGGACCTCATTATGCCATTCAGTGTCTGCATAATTCCACATCCTACGCTCATATCTAGCTACCTATTCTCATCCTCATTTTAAAAAATCAAAACTTGTACTATTTAAAGAATTACTTCAGTGCAAAAACCTGTGAGGACCCTACCACCTCCATAATTCTGATTAGGAATAACACAATAGCCTATGACTATAATTGACCTTGGCAAGTGTCCCTTCCACACAGTATCCTGCTATAATGACACCGTTCCTCTTATCAGTACACCAGCTTTCAAATAACTCTCTGGATAAGCCACTTTGCATCATGCCTGGGGAGGCCATGACAACACTGGGACCAATGTCATCAAAATGATCCATGCTCTAAGAGAGAAAACAAAATGGGAAAAGTATGTTAGCTACCAGCAGCTGACAAAGCATTCTTTCTTTTTAAAGAATAACAACAGGCTCAGGAAGAGATTAATCACACTACTGAAAGGGCCTTCACAAGATCGGTACACATTTTAAGTTCAGTTACCAAGTTCCTAACAGTTTAGGCTAGGAATGGTAGAAAAACCAAGTAATAAAAAGCAGTCAGTTCACGCTGATCTTCAAAACCTTCTACTGGCAGCTAGAGAGCCATCAGAACCATCAGGATCATCTTCAGTGCCTACCAGGCAGGCAGAAAAGTAAAAGGAAGAGTCAAATGGGTCTTGATCTACCCAAGACACAACTCTGAAAAAATATTCCCAAAGACTCACAATGGCTTTGCATGCTCCATGAATATTTTGAGCTGGCCTGGAAATCAAAAAGTTTAACGCTGTTCTAGGGAGAACTTGTCTATAATCCTTAAGCAGTTAACTTAAAATATATACTTTATGAACAAAGCCTATTTACAACTGGAAGACCACTTTTAAATTATTTCAGATATCAATTGAGTTCAAGCATCAATTGAGTTAAACAGTATTTTTTAAATTAAATAAAATCAGATTTTATTGAATGCTTCTAGAAAAGTATATAAAAATTTTCATATATAGAATTTGCAGCACTAATCAAAAAGATGATTTGGTTTGAGTGAGAAGAGAAACTTAAATACATAATACAAGATACTTTTCTCCTCAGAACTTTTTATTCCTACAGCAAAAGAGATAAGTATTATAAATACTGAGAACACATGGCTACTTGGGGTAAGTGGCAAAATCTGTTGAAGCAAAAAAAGAACGTCAGCTGCTGAAGTTTTGTTTTCCTGCAGAAAAACGACACCAGCTAGAGAAGAGGTAAGACTCCAGCAAGAGGAATTCAGCTAGAGTCACTGACACGCGCTGTCTATGATTTTTATCTTATTTTTATAGACACAGGGTCTCATTATCTTGCCCAGGCCGGTCTCAAACTCCTGAGTTCTAGTGATCCTCCTGCCTCGGACTCCCAAAAGGCTAAAATTACAGCCATGAGCCATCACTTGCGGCCTCGTACCTCCTACTCCTAATGACTGATTTGGTTTTATCCATCCTTGTCTTTCTTCCACAAGCACTCACCTTGAGGTTACTAATGTGTTTGAAAACAAAGGGATTATTGATGTTGATCTGTTTGCGGATTTTGTCATTCATGGCATTTACATATGTCTGGTACACTGCCATACACTTCTTGGCCAAAGATGATGCATAGTATATTGGAATGTCATGTAGTTCTGGGTGATTCTGCCAGTACTCATCTAGAGAGATTTTGCAAGAAACAAACATCACTTTGTTACATGGGGTAAATAGTTCAAATAAGAAATGATACACATAGAAACAAGAAATGATACACACACAACCAAGAAATAAAGCACATAACTATATTTTAAAGAGTTTAAGCAAAATTATCCTGGTTGTAACTAACTTAAATTTACAAAACCAAAACTTACTTCTAAATGGCACATGACCTAAAAAAGAATGCTGTGATCATAGTCCAAAGATGTGGAGGCTTTTAAAAATGACTCAGTAGGCCGGGCGTGGTGGCTCAAGCCTGTAATCCCAGCACTTTGGGAGGCCGAGACGTGTGCATCACGAGGTCAGGAGATCGAGACCATCCTGGCTAACATGGTGAAACCCCGTCTCTACCAAAAAAATACAAAAAATTAGCCGGGCGAGGTGGCGGGCACCTGTAGTCCCAGCTACTCGGGAGGCTGAGGCAGGAGAATGGCCTAAACCCGGGAGGCGGAGCTTGCAGTGAGCTGAGATCCAGCCACTGCACTCCAGCCTGGGCGACAAAGCGAGACTCCGTCTCAAAAAATTAAAAAAAAAAATAAATAAATAACTCAGTATAAATTTACACTGAAGTCTATAACTTATTACCATAACGAGACACTAAATAATACATTTTTATTTAAATGTATTAGAAAAACATATTAGAAAAAATTCTGTGGTTTTAAATAAAAATGTATTATTAATATTTCAAACAGATTTATTGAGTGCTAATTACAAAATAGAATTGCCAAGAGTTCACCAATTTTGAACACTTAAAAAAAAAAATAGTCATATTATGCTATTATTGTTTTTTTTGTTTTTGTGTCTTATACCCAGGCTGTCGACCAGCCTTGAGGGTAGTGGTGTCATCATGACTCATGGCAGCCTCAACCTCTTAGGTTCAAGTGATCCTCCCATGTCAGCCTTCTGAGTAGCTGTGACTACAGGAGTGTGCTACCACACTCGGCTAATTTTTTTTTTTTTTTTTTTGAGACTGGGTCTCACTATGTTGCTCAGGCTGGTCTCAAACTCTGGACTTAAGTGATCCTCCTGCCCAGCCTCCCAAAGTGCTGGGATTACAGGCATGAGCCACCACACTCAGCCATGCTTGTATTTTTAAAAAACTACTAACCAGTTTCTGATAATTAAAGAAAGCAGCGGGTAATATACCTTCAAAAAAAGACTTATGTTAAAGGAAAAGCGCTCATTAAATCCCAAAATTTTATCAAGGTAGTATGGCTGAAAGACACCCTTTATTCTAATAGGTGCCTCTGTGGTTTGAAAATGTATTATATGCCTATTATATTACTTGCATCTATAATTTCTAATTTTCAAAACAACTTACGAAGACTTATCACCATCTTAACTAGCAAACTAAGGGTAAAACAAAAGGCTGAATATTGTGTCAATTTTATTCTTCTATTTGATGTATCAATGATAATTCTATATGAGGACAAAAACTTTGTCACGTGTGTTACAAATAAATTTCCTGCTTTGTCTTCTAGTTTATCCCATTCATGATTCGTTTCTCTTATGATTTCTTAGATACCCTAAAGCGGATTACATCCCACAACCACGCCACCATTTCTTGTTTTGTTGTGCGTGTGTTTATGAACAAATTTTGAAGATTAAAAAAGTTAAATAATTTGCCCAAGGTCATATGGCTGTAGCCATATGATAGATTTGATCTGAAACACAGGTAAGATTTGAAAGCAGCTGTCCTTTCTATTATACTATATTACAAGGGAGACTTTAAGGAAAAAGGGCAACCAGTTGCAAAGAGCAGATGGTAGAACTGCCAGATAAAAATATCAAACACCCAGTTAAACCTGAATTTCACGTGAACAACAAAAGATTTTTAGTATAAGAATATATACTAACGAGACCAGCCTGGCCAATGTGGTGAAATCTCGTCTCTACCAAAAATACAAAAATTAGCCAGGCATGGTGGCGCATGCCTGTAATCCCAGCTACTCAGGAGGCTAAGGCAGGAGAATAGCTTGAACCCGGGAGGCGGAGGTTGTGGTGAGCCGACATCACGCCAAGCTGAGATAGTGCCACTGCTCTCCAGCCTGGGTGACAGGGTGAGACTCTATCTCAAAAAAAAAAAAAAAAAGAAAGAATATATATTAAATATTTGGTACACTTATATTAAAACATGATTATTTATCTGAACCTAAAATTTAATGAGTTGTCCTCTAGTTTCATTTGCTAAATCTGGCAATCCAATTTGATGGTGGCAACATTGTTTCAACTTCCTAACTTCTCTGCTCTTCATCTTACTGGTCACAAAGACTTCGACTTCAAGACTTCTAAGGACGAATTTGACTTGCAGTTAGGAAGGAGGACTAATCAAGATCAGAAGACTGAATTATATTCGGATTTGGGAAATTCAGCTTCTAGAAGTCCTATCTGTTACAGATTTGCTTTTCATCTGGGGTCATTTCTTCCAACTTTCCTTCTGTTTTCCTTTTCAGTGTAACAGGGATACTATTTTTTTCTCCTCCTCACCGAGATGGCAGAATAGAGAGGAAGAGGTAAGATGCAAGCATTTCTAGTGCTTCACACAGAGGTTACATACATGCAAAGCACCCATTTTATTATTTCTTTTTTTTTTTTTTTTAAGACAGGGTCTCAGTCTGTTGCCCAGGCTGGAGTGCAGTGGCACAATCTCGGCTCACTGTAACCTCTGCCTCCCAGGCTCAAGTGATCCTCCCACCTCAGCCTCCCAGGTAGCTGAGGGACAACAGGTGTGCACCACCATACCCAGCTAATTCTTTGTATTTTTTGTAGAGACAAGGTCTTGCCTTGTTGTTGCCCAGGCTGGTCTCAAATTCCTGGGCTCAAGTGATCTTCCACCCTCAGCCTCTCAAAGTGTTGGAATTAGGGATTACAGGCGTGAGCCACTATGCCTGGCTGCAAAGCACCTTCTTTTATTCTTTAATAAGAGTGGTTTTCCCAAATAGATCACAGAATGTGAGGTATAAGGGATCATTAAGTACAAATGTATGCTAAAAAGTAACAACCACTGTTCCTCTTATTACAAAAAGTTATATATATGTTCACTGAAGTACTTCTAAAATGGAGAAAAGCAGAAAACAAAAAATATTACCCATATTCTCACTATCCAGATTTAGTATTTTTTTCGGTCATTTGTGTGTGCATTTTTTACCTAACTAGGATCAGAGTACATATAGGTTTTTTTGTTTGTTTGTTTTCAGAGTCTCGCTCTGTCAGCCAGGCTGGAGTGCAGTGGCGCAATCTCAGCTCACTGCAAGCTCTGCCTCCCAGGATCAAGCAATTCTCATGCCTCAGCCTCCAGAAAAGCTGGGACTACATGCGTGTGCCACCATACCTGGCTCATTTTTCTATTTTTGGTAGAGACAAAGTTTCATCACGATAGCCAGGCTGGTCTTGAACTCCTGGCGTCAAGTGATCTGCCCACCTCAGCCTCCCTCAGTGCTAGGATTACAGGCCTGAGCCACCACGCCCGGCACAGAGTCCATACAGTTTTGAACTCTACTTTTTTGGTTGACTTAATATATTATGTGAAAGTATGTAATTACTCATCTGTAACACAATTTTTTCCTATAATGTTATATTTACTGACATGGTATTTCTTTGAAAATACTAAAATGATGAATACCTTTCTTGACAAAATTTTCTGTACATCTCATTTATTTCCCAGAAGCGGAACTGCTGGCCAAAGGGTACACATATTTTAAGACTTCTGATGGCCACCAGAAGGGGACACCAGTTCACATTCCCAGCGGCAGTGCATGAGAGTTGCTGTTTTCCTAGGCTATTCCTAGATCCAAATCCCTAGTTTTTTCTTTTTTTTTTGAGACGGAGTCTCACTCTGTCGCCCAGGCTAGAGTGCAGTGGTACAATCTCAGCTCACTGCAACCTCCACCTCCCAGGTTCAAGCAATTCTCTGCCTCAGCCACCTGAGCAGCTGGGATTACAGGCATCCGTCACCATGCCCGGCTAATTTTTGTATTTTTAGTAGAGATGGGGTTTCACCATCTTGGTCAGGCTGGTCTTGAACTCCGGATCTCATGATCTACCCAAATCAGCCTCCCAAAGTGCTGGGATTACAGGTGTGAGCCACCGCGCCCGGCCCCAAATCCCTATTTTTAAATGAAGAAAACTGAAGTCCAGGATGGTGGAATGACTCATCCGAGACCATGTTATTATCCTGATAAAATGACAAGATTGTAATCATCTCCTAAATAGAAAGGAAATGGCATACCCAGAATCAAGAGCAGCTCCTGAGCCCTTCCAAGAGCGAAGACAGGAATGAGACCCCTGCCTCCTCTGTTTACAATGTCGTGGACAGTGTTACAGAATCTTGCCTCTCGCTCTTCACGTTTCTCATGGATGTGGGTCCCATAAGTAGATTCCTAAATAACATATTAGAAGTGTGAGACTAAAACCGATGGTCCCCAAAGAATTCAAAAGTTAAACATCAGTGAAATGCTGAGGGACTAAGCAATTCACTTCTCCATTAGCATGTCATTTACTCGAACATGTGTTGTCATAATAGCAATTGGGAAGAGCAAGCAAGAATGCTAGAATTCAGGCCCAGCGCAGTGGCTCACAACTGTATCACAGCACTTTGGGAAGCCAAGGCAAGTGGATCACCTGAGGTCAGGAGTTCAAGACCAGCCTGACCAACGTGGCGAAACCCTGTCTCTACTAAAAGTACAAAAGTTAGCTGGGCATGGTGGTGGGCGGTTGTAATCCCAGCTACTCCAGAGGCTGAGGCAGGAGAATAGCTTGAACCCAGGAGGAGGTTGCAGTGAGCTGAGATTGCACCATTGCACTCTAGCCTGGTCGACAGAGCAAGACTCCATCTCAAAAAAATACAATTTAACAACAACAACAAAACAGGCCAGGCATGGTGGCTCATGCCTGTAATGCCAGCATTTTGGGAGGCCAAGGCGGGTAGATCTTCTGAGGTCAGGAGTCCAGCCTGACCAACATGATGAAAGCCCGTCTCTACTAAAAATACAAAAATTAGCTGGGCATGGAAGTGCACGCCTTGTAATCCCAGCTATTCAGAAGGCTGAGGCAGGAGAATCACTTGAACCTGGGAGGCAGAGGTTGCAGTGAGCCGAGATCGCGTCACTCACTCCAGAGTGAGACTCCATCTCAAAAAACAAAACAAAACAAAACAAAGAATGCCAGAATTCAAATCTAAGTAAGAAGAACATTTTATAAAATGGAATCAAGAAATAGTCCAAAACTGTATTTTCTTCCCATGTCCATTTTGCTTTCCATTAGGAAGAAAAAGGTTATTTCTCCTACCTCTGATAAGTCAAAGCTTTTAAAATAGAAATAGATGTTGTTTCTTATACTTCTGCTTAAGAATATCCTTAAAGTCTTACTAGGTGTGGTCCACTGACCAGAAGATTGACATCCCTTTGGAGCTTATCAGAAGTGCAAAATCTCAGACCCCAGCCCAGACATACTGAATCAGAATTTGTACCTTAGCAATATCATCAGATGATTATATGCATATTAAAATTTGAAGCACTCCTGTAAAGTATGGTACTATGAAAATAACTACTTTTTCTGAGGGTTCAAAAATGAATCTCCCCTTAAATTAAGTTTATATGCTGGGCATACCATGAGCAGAGTCCAATGTAATCTGCTCACATGTTGCTTATGCACTGCAATGTGTACTGGCCCACATGCCTGGGCAGCTGGGGAATGTGGTAGGTGGTGGAGGAGAAACAGACAACTCTTCCTCCTTGAACCACATACATCTGATGTTCTTATATATACCAAAAGCCTGCAAGATTTCTCTCCCAACCCCTGACTCTACCATCAGCAACACACATCCCAAGCTGCCCCCAAAGAGCTTCGGTACACAGTCCATTTTTTTGCTCCCCTGGGACTTGCAACCTAGTAGGCAGACAGGACACACAGATAAACAAAACGATAAGTTAGCATGGACTAAGGGTCTGAGGACAGTCACCGTGGCAGAGGCAGTGAGGTCACGCCATTTCCAAAATGACCCATAGATGTTCTTCTACACATTGTCATCTAGAAAAATATATTTAGGAGACAGGGAGAGGGCACACCCAGTGAAAATGATCCTGCCCAGAGACAGCCTGGTGCCTCTGATATTAGACTAGAGTTAATGCATTTAACACCAAGAAAGTGAAGCTGCACTACAAAAAGAAGTGCCTGCCCCAATTTTTTTTTTGAGACTGAGTCTTGCTTTGTAGCCCAGGCTCAAGTGCAGCAGCGTGATCTTGGCTCACTGTAGCCTCCACCTTCTGGGTTCAAGTGATTCTTGTGCCTCAGCCTCCCCAGTACCTGGGACTACAGGTGTGCACCACCACACCCAGGTAATTTTTGTATTTTTTTTTAGCAGACATGGGGTTTCACCATGTTGGCCAAGCTGGTCTCTAACTCCTGGCCTTAAGTGATCTACCCACCTCAGCCTCCCAAAGCACTAAGATTACAGGTGTGAGCCACTGTGCCTGGCCACCAATTTTCTTATATTAAAAAAAAAGATAAGTTTATATCCAATAACATGTTATGAAAGTGAGATCACAATATTATTTTCCAAAAGAAAAAAATCTGCTTACATTACATTGATTACAATATAGCACATTAATACTTACAATGATAAGAATATCAGGCTTAATGTTAGGAATTTCAGCTGCCATTAAGTGTCTATCTTCTTGTCTTGAGAAATCACCTGTGTACAAAAGCTATGAAAAAGATAAAACTAGAAAGTTAGGATTTGGGGAAGGCTTCATTTTGCTAGTGAATAGATTAAACTCATGAAATCCAAAAGTGCAGTTACAGTTTTTAAAAAGTCTAAAACTGATGAAATTTACATGCAGTGCTTGTGTCGAATTCAAAATGTGTAGTTTAGTTAGTAAATGGTCCAGTGCTTCAATTATTTCATCTAGTAAATGGGAATAATCTATTCCCAGTATCATCTCACAAAGATAACCTATATAACATTAATCCACTTGAGAAGTGCTCTGAACTTCTTAGAGAAAAAGGGCATGCTGACAAGGAAAGGAGTGCACTGAGGTACATGGTCTAAAACCAGAGATAAAATCGTAAGAAGGTCTGCATCAAATTCCAAGAGAATTCACGTCGGCATTTGTGCTACTTATTTTTTGTGCCCTGGAGCAAACTGCAAGAATAAGAGATTCAGTGATATATTTTACAATTCAATGTCTAAAAGTTCCAAATGTAGAAGCAGCTGTGAAAAATTTAGGACGTTACACTAGAGCATCGGTTCTCAACTCTAGCTGCACGTTAGAATCACCTAGAAAACTCAAAAAGGAAAAGGCCAAGCTACACCTCCAGATTTTGATTGAATAGTTACTTTTCAACAGCTCCCTAAGAGACTCTTACGTGCAGCCAGAGTTCAAAGCCGCTGCTCTGGAGTCTAGAAACCTAGTAGTCCACCCACATTTGCAGAAGTTCAAGGGTTCCCTAAAGATCTTTCCTAATTAACCCCTTTTACTCTTGCAGTCCACTCTGCTTAGGGGCTTATCTGTGAATCCTAAGACATCAGGGGGACATGAATATCAAATTGTGTTTTATTTTTAAATGAATGCAGCCACAAAGACACCTCTTCCCTAACCAGTTTTCTAAAGGAAACTGAATCCTTTAGAATTCAGGGAATTCCTTTCTGAGGTGTTTATTTTACCCCTTTCTCAGTCGTTAAAATTTTTTTTTTTTCTCAGTCTTGATACAGAAAGTATTGTAATGGAGGTAGGAACTACGATATTTAAAAGGAAAAAGTGTTAACTGTATTTTCATCTTATGATTCAGTGTTCTGACACTTTTGCAAGTCTTAGGGAATTTTTTTTTCAATAGTACTTGGTGGCACAAAGCTCTGTACTGATTTCTCTGGGGAGAAAAGCGCCAGAGCCAGAGGGTACCTTCACGCCTGCGATCTCAATCATGAACATGGCGGCTCCTAGGACGTGCCCCGCATGGTAACACCAAAACTTGATTCCTGCAACTTCCTTAACTTCATGAAAGTTGATAGTTTCAATTTTGTCCATGCTTTCTTCCAAATCCGTCTCGGTATACAACATGTCGTCCGCTGATATGTTACTAAATTTTGAAAGATGTCAGCAAAAACAATTAAGTCAGATTTTTTAAAAAGCCTTTGAACACAAAGAAATTGTGGATAACATATCCATGATGGTATTTCTTCAAAATATATTGCATGAATTATGCTATTTAAAATTTTTTAGAGATTTTGTGTATTTTTTTTTTTACTCTATTGTGTATATAGCCACAAAACTTGATTTTAAACAAACCACACAGGAAATTAAGATACTGAGCTCAAAGTACTCTCAATTTTCAGTAATACATACAGTAAATTAAGACAAAATACTCTTTAGGAGAGTATTCTCAAATTTTTCCCCACCCCAACACTCCTGAAAGATGTAACACACTCACATACATTGAACCATGGCAGATATTTCTCACATTAGGATGAGAAAAGATTTTTCTACAAAGTCTAGCACAGCCTTTCTCCTGAAAATTATGTTAATATACTTATAAAAAAGGAAGAGAGAATAGTGGTTAAGGACACTGATTCGGGAGCCAGATTGTTTGGGTTCAAATCCTCGCTCTGTCTCTTACTGTGACAATTTTGGGCAAATAACCTAACCTCGCTGTGCCTCAGTTTCATCATCTATAAAATGGAATTTATAATAGAACCTACATCTTGAGTTGGTGTGAAGATTAAATATATTTATCTCCCAGATGGGTGCGGTGGCTCACGCCTATAATTCCAGCACTCTGGGAGGCCATGGCAGACGGATCACTTGAGGTCAGGAGTTCAAGACCAGGCTGGCCAACATGGTAAAACTCCTTCTCTACTAAAAATACAAAAATTAGCTAGGCATGGTGGCACGCACTGCGTGCCTATAATCCTAGCTACTGGGGAGACTGAGGAATGAGAATTGCCTGAACCCGGGAGCGGAGGTTGCAGTGAGCCAAGATAGTGCCACTGCACTCCAGCCTGGTCAACAGCCCAAGACTCCATCTCAAAAAAATATATATATAAAAATATATATATAATATACATGTGTATATATAATATATATATGTGTATTATATATGTATATATAACATATATAAAATATGTATCTTTTGTGTGTGAAGTTAATATACATTAGGAATTTAGGATTGGGCCTAATACGTGGTTAAGCATTATTGAAGTGTTAATGAGTGTTACCACAATTAAGCATAACTCTTCCAATCCAGCCTAATGAAGTTTTAAAAGGACACAAAAGCTATATAAAGACTTCAAGGCCAGGCCAGTGACTCATGCCTGTAATCCCAGCACTCTGGGAGGCCATGGCAGGAGGATCACTTGAGCCCAGGAGTTTGAGACTAGTTTGGGCAACATAAGACCCCATCTTTTCAAAAAACAAAAAACCTCTGCTGGGTGTGGGGGCACATGCCTGTAGTCTCAGCTGCTTGGGAGGCTGAGGTGAAAGGACTGCTTGAGCCCAGGTGGTTGAGGCTGCAGTGAGCTGTGGTCGCACCATTGCACTCCAGCCTAGATGACACAGCAAGATCCTGTCTCAAAAAAACCTTCAAGGTCAGGAAGGTGCTAGAAACACAATAGGTTTCAATGACCTTGTTAATGAATGATGAAATTACTAATATCCTTATACATGAAAAGAGAGCACCTCATTTTAAAACACAAAATGGTCCATATCTTGAACCATATGTACTCTAAAGAGCCAAAGTCGTGTATAATCTAATAAAGTAATTTACCTAACTTTGACATAATCGGAAAGAAGCCATCTATAAATAGCTTTTGTGGCATGAGTCATAAATGTTCTTCCTTTGAAACTTGTCTTCTGTAGAAACCAGGGCAGAGCTCCACAGTGATCCAAATGGAAACTTAAAAAGAAAGAGGCTACATTAATTCTTAAAATTATTATCCATCGGATACCATGTAATGAAACTGTTGCTTACTGTACAAAACAAGTTTTATATAAACAACTACGTACTGACACTTTCAGAAAACCAAGAGTAGGTATGTGTAGAAGGAAGAAGTAACGCATACAGTTTTAATATGGAAGAAAGATGTTTAAAGTATCGTTTTTAAACAGCAAAAAAACTTTATTAGTGAACAATTAGGGACGAAGAAGAATATCCCAAACCTACTCTTGGCAGCCAGAATTACAGCAAACATCTTAGCAGAATAAAGTTGAAACATGGGTATCTCCCTGAGGTCACTGTCTTGTCATATTTTTCTATATGAACTCTATTTAAAAATAGTTTCAATAAAGTTGAAATGGTGTTCTTATAGAAACACGTGACAAAACAGTGACCTCAAGGAGATACCCTGGAAAAGGGCTTTCTTAGTCTCAAGTTTTACAATGATTCAAGTTCTGTACTATCTCCTTCTCACGTACTCACTGAACTTATATATAGAGATAGGTAAGTTTTTCATAGTAAACTTCTCTAGCCTGTGATGACATTATGGAGTGCTGGTTTAGACTTAGATGTCTGCAATATGCTTCCCAGCAAAAAACACTCTTTTAAAAAACCAAACTCTCAAAATCTAGTAAAGAATGAGCTTGACGGTAAAAGTCCGTGAAAAACAGCGTCATTAATAAAGGGAAAAACTTACTGACTAATTAATAGGAGATCAATCTCAGCTGGATCAATTAAATCAATATAAGGAAGAGCATCCATTCCTTCTAGGCCAGGGTGGATCCCACAGTCCAGCTGAAAGGGACAGGAAAAGAGATCACAATCTCCTACGTATTTTATTAAAATTCATTCAGCAAACAGACAATAATTCTAGATCTATCACCCACATACTCAAGATAGACTCCAGACACTAGCACTTGGAACATGATTCTTATTAAAAGTGGCAAATACGCCATTAACAATTCTAACTTCCCAACAAATTTAAAATTTAGCTCACATTTAGGGGTCACAGGATGCAAAGTACAAAACAGCTTCTTTCCAACTACTTTTGGTCGTCATTCTAACAATGAATTAAGTATTTTTCAAAAACTTCGATATCAGAAGATTAAAATTAAAAAAGTTTATAGATTTACTACTACCAGATCTTGTGAGAAGATCATAATTAGAAATGGGAAATTTACCTGATCAGGATAATTTAAATATTTTTAAGGCATTAGGGAACAAATTCTTAAGACTCGGTCACTAAAGTTACTTATTTTTATGGCGTTACTACCAAATTAACACAATAGATGACTAAAAAGATGACTATGTCTGACCTATTCATATTCTTTTCAGATTGGGAAGAGTTGAGAAGAAAGAGAAATCAAAGGAACATGAGACACAGAACTGACTTTCTAATGAGTACCTTAGAATGAAACCATCTCCTCTAACCCCTCTACTTTTCAGGCTTAGAGAAGCAGAGTGACTTATCCAAGGCCGGCAGCCCCAATGGGACTTGGGCATCCAACCTTCCCAAGGCCAAGGCTTGATCCCCACATGCTGGAGGCGGCTAGAGCTCTCAATGTGTTCAGTGATTAGGCCCTTGGATCTTCCACTTGGGATGGGGCAGTTAGGCTGGCTGAACCCTTCAGGAGTGGAAGAGGGACTTCGAAGAAGTAACAGTTCAACAGATCTAGCTGACAATTTTACAGTCATAGAATATATCTTCTTAATCAACTAAGTTACTAAGTAGAAGTATGTATTAGTTTTTCTCATTAACATTATACAGCATAGATTGCATGCACTATAACATTTTTCTGGGAGCTAAAAAGATAACTAGTCTATGAGAAAAGACTAACACCCAATACAGACAGAGCCATATTATTAAACTGAGTACAAAAATAGTAATTACCATTATTTTTCTTCCTTTGAACTCGAGAATAATACATGATCTTCCTACTTCTTGCCCAGCTCCACTGTAAACATTCAAGGGGAGAAAAAAAAAAGGATTTAAAAAAACATCAAAACCAAGTCCAATAAACTTACTTTTTTACAATGTGCACTACATCCCATCTGACGACAGCACCTCACTGAAAAATTCTGAGACATAAGAGAGTTCTACAAAATTACAAAGGCAGGGAAGAACAGTGTCCACGTCGGAAAAGATGAAAACTGATCCTTGGGAGTCCAGGGATCTCGCAGTTGTTAAAATTGAGAGAGAAGGCGGTAGAGATCCAAGAAGCTTAAATTCAATTTTCTGAATTTTAGGATTAAATTATGATGTATTTAAAATGTAAAATAGCAGTTATGCAGATTATGTAATAATACTTTTAGAATAAGCACTTAAGTAGAAAGCCATAAGCATATCAACACTGTCATCTTCTTTAAGATCATAATCTGTATTTGCCAAATGGTTTAAATTTAAATGGCTTGGCGCGGTGGCTCGTAATCCCAGCACTTTGGGAAGCCGAGGCGGGCAGATCACTAGGTCAGGAGATCGAGACCATCTTGGCTAACACAGTGAAACCCTGTCTCTACTAAAAATACAAAAAATTAGCCAGGCATCGTGGTGGGCGCCTATAGTCCCAGCTACTCGGGAGGCTATGGCAGGAGAACGGCGTGAACCCGGGAGGCGGAGCTCGCAGTGAGCAGAGATTGTGCCACTGCACTCCAGCCTGGGCGACAGAGCGAGACTCTGTCTTAAAAAAAAAAAAAAAAATTTTTAAATACTTATTCATACTGTGAATTTCAATCGCTTTTCCTTCTACTTTCTGTTATTTCAGCATATTTTATGCCAAGTACTTAAATAACTTTTGTTTCTTCTTAAATTAATAATTTCAGCCATAATTAGCAATGGTCACAAGGCACACTTCAAGTTACACCTCACTTTTCAAATCCCTCACCTTCCTTGATGCCTTTCCCCAATCATTCTAGCTCACAATTCACTCACTCACTCAACATTAAGCAGCTTCTATTTGCCAAGCACTGTATTAAGTGCGTAGGACATGGAAATGCCTTACAGGGACCCTGACCTCAAGGAACTCATTCAGATGGACATGCAATGGACCTCTCCCCAAACTGAGATCCTACCTCCGAGCAGGTGTTGATACAGAAGATCAAACAACTGTGGACGAGAGCTGCCATAAACTCATGGCCTTCCACTTTTTAATTAGTTTTTGTTTTTAATTATTGTGGATACCCTGGCCTTGCACTTTAACTGGCCCTCAATGTTGCCTAGCTGTTTTCTCCATCTCATTTCCATATCAACTATTTTCAAACTTTCTCCCCTTTCCCACATTTTCCAACCCTCTATCCTCTTCTTCACTTGAGGTATGGGCCATCTTCTGCATCAAAAAAATAAACAGTCCATTTGTAAATTTCCTCAACTTCATGTTGGTACAATAATTAAAAATGCATGTACCAACAGGGTACCAACCTGCCCACATCTGTCTCCTTCCATTTCTCCTCTATAGATAGAACAGACCTCTCCTTCCACGACGAATCTTTCCACCATTCTACTCTACGTACTCCCTCCATCCTTCTGAGGAACTGAACACTGCTGTGTCACTGACATTTTCCTCACTGTCTGCTCTTTACCATCCAATCCAAATTGAAATACACTACAGCCATGTTCATCCCCAAATTAAAATCCCTCGACTCTCATCTCCTTTAGTTCCCACTTCATTCTTTCCCCAGCCCGCCTCCTAGGGCAGTGGACCCTCCTGTACTTCCTCACCTTCCACTCACTCCTCAATTCACTCTCCTCTGGCTCTTACTAATCACTTTTCTGAAACTATCTTTGCTGCTCCGTAGTCATTTCAGTCTTTTTTTTTTTTTTTTTTTGGGACAAGTTCCCCCTATGTTGCCCAGTTGGCCTCCAACTCCTGGGCTCAAGTGATCCTCCTGCCTCAGCCTCCCAAATAGCTGGAACTATAGGTGTCAGTCCCTATCTTGTTCTCTTGGCAGCCTTTGTCATTCGTAAGGAGTACTTGCTCCTTCCTCAAGCACCTCTCCCTTGGCTTCTCTGACGTGATGCTCTCATCCTGTCTTGCTGGCTTTCCTGTTTCCTTCACATATTCAGCCACCTCTGCCCACCCTTTAAATGTTGATATTCCGAGGGTTTGCTCCTTGGCCAATTTCTCAATCTTCATTCTCATCTTTCTGACATGCTAAGGACTTCCAAGCCCGTACTCGTAACCCAGATTGTTCTTCTGAATTCCAGACCTTTAATACATACACGGGACACTAGGTATCTCTACTAGGATCTCTCCCGGGACTTCATATTCAATATGCCAAACTGGTTTCCACCACATGCCCCCTACTTGCTCTGCTTTCTTCCTGAAATGCTTTGTCTTCAGATATTGATGTGGTTGACTCCTTTGTATCATTTGGGTCTCAGTTCCAATGTCACCTTCTCAGATGCTTTCTCTTGACTACCTCCTCTAATTTGCCCTTCACAGCAAGCCACAACCCAGCATCATGTTATCTTAATACTTACAACTACATGAAGTTATTGTATCCACTTATGTCTTGCTTCAGGCTACTAAATGAAAGCTTCCTAAGAACAGAGGCATTGTCCACCTTATTCACTGCTGTATTGCTACAGTACCTGGCATGTAGTAAATCACAAAAAATAGTTATTGAATGAATAAAACTCCTCAATTTTGAACCTTGGAAAGATTACGCTAAATGAAAGATGCCAGAGACAAAAGACTATGTATTGTATGATCGCACTTCTATGAAATGTCCACAACAGGTAAATCTGTAGAGAAGTAGATTAGTGGTTGCTAAGGTCTGGAGAGGTAGTGGGGATTGTCCATGACTGCTAATGAATACAAGGTGTCTTTTGAGAGTGATGAAAATGTTCTGGAATGAGAGAGGGGTGATGGTTGTATAACTCTATGTTAAGAACGACTGAGAGTTGTATGGTATATAAATTGTGAGTTGTATGGTATGTAAACTGTATCTCAATAAAGCTGTTATGAAACAACCGAACTCCCAAATTTACTCCAGAGTTGCCCCACTTCCTACACTCCTAGAGTGAAGAACACTACCCTTTCCCAACTGCCAAACTTAGGAATCCGAGTCATCATAACATCCTCTCTGCCTTGCCTTCCCTCCCCACAACCACCCTTCCAGTACAGCTGATCAGCCACAAAATCCTGAAGATCTCATTTGCGTACTCTCTCACACTCATGTCACTCACTACAGGCTCTGACCACCTAGACTTGGAATCTTTCAATGATATCTTACTGAACCTGCTCTACTCAATCCATCCTTTTATTCAGCTGCTACACTGCTGCCAGGAGTGATTTTCCTAAAACATAATTCCCCACAATATCCATGCTTGCTTAACAGCCTTCGCTGGCTCCCTGTAATTAACTATCTGATAAAGGTCCAAACTCCTATGTATATGAGGTGCTTCCTAAACTGGACCTCAACAGCCTGTCGCTTCATCTGCTAACTCAACTCTTTAGCTACAGCCATGAGGAATCTGGCCACAAGTTGTGGCCACTCTCACTTTCACATGTGCCACTTCCACTGCCTAGAACACCCTGGGCCCCCCAGTCTTCAACTCCTACTCATTCTTTAGGACTCAGCTCAAGCATCACATTTTTCAGGATGCACGAGGTATCCTTTTTTCCTCAATCTGTCAGAAATCCCTCTTCCATACTTTCACAGTGCTCAGTGCAATGCCTACCTGCGCTCTTAGATTAGCTATTATTTACAAAGCACCTACCGCGATCTTTACTCTTCAAGTTTTATCTTATTTCCATATGAGAAAACGGGTTCAGTGAGGTTGTTGTCCTACTAAGTGGTCAAGTAGATAACGGACTTCAGGTCTGACTTCAAAGTAATGGTCTCCTATTATTCCAAAGTATCTCTCCAATACTTCCCACTGTGCACTGTAATTCTCTCCATAAGGGCGAGAGCAATTAACTGGGCCCTCCTTTGCATCTGTATCCCCACGTGTGGTGCTTGACACTTGACACTTGCTAAAGAATTGAGTTAGCAGATCAAGTGACAGTGTTTGCTCATCACAGGAAGACATGACAGGTGTGATCCAAGCAGAAGGAAACGGACTATGTCCCAAGCAGGTGCTCAATGAAGCCTTACTGAACGAATGTGTAAAGGAGATCTTTTCTACCTTTTGGAAAGCGTATATTCATGTTGTGCCAACTAACATCTAACAATAAACATGTTGTGGGTTCGAAATGCTCATCTGTAGGAATCCAAGTTCTCTACATTTGCATCTCCCTTTCAGCAGCATTCCCGACTGATGAGGACCATGTCCACTGAAAGGCCACTCTCCTTACGGACAGTCGAGGGCTGAGTTTTTGTCCCTAACACCTCTGCACTTTCCCCTCTCCAGCTTTACACCTTCCTTATTCTACTAGGACCTGAGCTGAGAAGATCGAAACTCACGGCACGTCCCTAATATCTTCTAACTTCTGGCACATGTGAAGCCCTGGTGTTAGGAAACAGACTTAATTCTTCCCTGCACCGCTGTAGCCTCATTCAGGTCCTCCTCTCATCCTGTCGATCATAAGCGTCACCGGCTCTCTCACGGCTTGCCCTGACGCGCAGAGATCCGTGCTTGTGCTAAGTGAAAACGCTTTTTAGCGTGTACGAAAAGCGGCCGGTGGCCCCGGAAAACTTTTTTTTTTTTCCGACTCCAACATACCCTCCCCTGAAACTGATAAAGAAGCAAAATCCCGTTCACTCTAGCAGGCCCCTTCCAATCAGTGGTCCTCCAACCCCTCGAGCCTGAGAAGCCTGGCCCGCAACCGCGGACCAAAGGCAGGCTGCCGGCGACGGTGGGAGCGCGGGCGACGGAGGAGGCCAAAGTCTCCGGTTATCCCTCGCACCCCTCACAGCCCTTGGCCTCATTCCCTCTCTCGTTGGTCCCTTACAGAGGTCGGATCAGCAGCTGGTCGCTCTCCTCAGCAGGAATCGCAGACATCCCGAAAGTGTGAGGGCGAAGCGGGGGCGGAGAACAGGTCGCCGGGGTCTTCCTAAATTGGAAGGTAAATAAAGAAAGAAGAACCCCATCCAGCAAGAGCACAACTTCCGTCACTCCGGAGCCCGCGGCACTAGACTCCTCCCCTCGACTTCCGGTTGGGGGACGTCGCTTGCGAAGCTTCCCACCACTCGGGGTCCTGGAACCGGGGGCGGGACGTCAGGACTGCGCCTGCGCTTAGTCTCGGAGGCGGGGTCCGGCGGACGTGGGCAGGAGCGTTGGAAAAGCCGGCGCTGGAGCGGGAACGGGGGTAGCTGCCTGAGTGCCGGAGGCCGCGGCGCTCCCACGCGGACCCCGAAGCTCACAACCGGGGGATGGGCCCGCGGCTGCGAGGTGAGCGCCCAGCCCTCGTCCCACTTGGGGCCGAGCTCGCGGAGGCCTGACGGGAACACGGCCCCGAGAGCGGCGCGGACGGCCGGGAAGGATGGGTGGGGCCGCAGGGAGGGCGGGGGAGGGATGCCTGGGCTCCGGCTGCGTTCTCTGCGGGTCCGCGCTCCCGGGGCGCGGGTGGAGGCGCCTGGAACCGCGGGTCGGGCGTGGGCGTTGTGGACTGTAGCTTCCGGAGCCGCTGCCAGCCGGGAGAGGAGGCAAGGCGGGCAGCGCGGGCCGTTTCCCTGCCTCTTCGTCTGCCTCGTTTCGGCCGCCTCCCGCCTCTCAGGGTCGGGGTTGTCTGTCCGCTTCGCTGTCACATCCTCCGCACCCAGCGCGTGGAAGGTGCTCCATCACGGTGACAGACAGGTGCCAAGCAGGCTGGCGTCTGGGAGGAGCTTTGGAGCCGGCTCTCCCTAGGCCCTGAGCTTGGCCCCATCCGTCCTTACCCTGGTGACCCTGGGCAGGTCACTGACTCTTCGGGCGCTTTGGCATCCTCGTTTGAAAGGGGCTGTTATCCTTCAGGCTTGCTGGTCAGTGAGGTTGAGAGGGATCTGTGCACCTAGCACCGTGCATGGCACGTGGTAGGCGTTTGGTACTTGGGAATTGCTGTTGGGGTGTTACAGACACCCCAGAAAGTTCTCGGCTTCAGTAAGCGCGTCCCCTGCCAGGCGCCCTGGCTGTGCAGAGAGGAGTCCCTGAGCTCCGCCTTTGACCAGCGTGCAGCTGGGAGAGTGAGATCAGAGACCACAGCAGATCGTGGCGCTGTGATCAGGGGTACACTGAAGCTGTGGGTCCCTGAGCCCAGCCTTGAGATCCCAGGAAGGCCTGCAGCCTGAAAGGGGCCTTGAAAGGTAAGAGGTAGCCAAGTGCCTGAAAGGTGAAGGGTGTCCCGGGCACTGCAAAGCAGGGGCGACTGGAGCATCGCTCTGAGAACCACGAGCAGCTTTGCCTTGCTGAGATCAATTAACTGTGCCCGGGTTGTGGAGGATGGAAGTGGAAAGGTGGTTAGGAGCTGCGTCCTGGAGGACCTGGCGTGTCCTGCTGAAGAACGTTGACTTTGATCTCTGACTTTGGAGAACCAGTGAAAGATTTTCAGCAGGCTAGTGGCATTAGATTTATGTTTGAAAGAAATCATTTTAATCGTTTTGGCTGCAGTGTGGAGTGGATTTAAAGTGTTAGGGAATCCAGTAGGACAAGGTCCCTTACCCACGAAATATGCTTGGGTTTGTGAATTCCTTAAATTCATGCCAAATTTTGTATGGATGTGTATTTTTGTAGGGTGAGTATCCATCACACTGATCAGATTCTAAAAAAATGGTGTCTGTGCCCATGGTCTAGGATGACATGGGGCCTGGTGGAGAGCTGGCTCAGAGAGCTCTTCCCGTGGGGTATACAGTGGGTCTTGGTGCCAGATTGGATATGGGGCCTGAAGGACAGCAAGGAATTCATGATTTCCTGGCTTCCCCCAGCAATAATAGAATTTCCTAACGGGGAGAGAAGAGGAGAGGAGCAGATCTGGAGGGGAGGATGATGGTTTCAGTTTGAGACATCTTTGCATTTGACGAGCCTGCGGAGCATCCAGTCGCCAATCAGGATCATTGGCCTCATTTTGATGCATGAGTAATTTTGAGGCAAGAATGATTTGCTTGAGAACATGCATCAAAATTGCAGCAGATATCAAAGACTTTAATAAATGCTGCTTTTTCCTAAGCCCCTGGGTTGATGATGAAAAGAAAGCCTTAAGGAGTTGCTGAGGCATTGTGGTGTCATGATTTTCATATCAAGGGATTTGAGGAGACACTTCAGGATTGCACTAACAGTAGAATCACATTTTGTTTTTAAAATAAGTTTTGATTTAAAATTTAAATCATATTTAAAATTGTTACCTATATGTAAATATGTATTTATATATACTGAAGTATCTGATGCTTAAATACGTTATATATCATCAACATTTTAACCCATCAGCGCCATTAACATGGCACTTTATGCTGCTACATTAACCTCGTTTTGTGCAGGCCTTGGAATAAGGCTCTCCTGCCGTCTCTCACTGACTAGTGTCCTGTGCTGGTAAAGTTCTTTGCAGCAGTCACCCGCAGTCGTCTTCCAACGCATCTCTCTCTTTTTACTCTTATCCTATGGAGTTAGTTCCCTGCCTGGCAGCCAGGGTCGTTGTTTAAAAAACAGAAGACACCTAATTGTGTCGCTAAACTGCTTTTTAAAAGTCTCCATTCCGGAAGATCACAGCAGATAAGCAAAAAATAAATAAAAAAACCTTTAGAGTCTTCCTCTTAAAGTCCACTGTTACCACAGCCTGCCTGGTCTTCTGTGGCACTTTGTCTGGGCCCATTGCTGTCCTCCTGCTCCCAGACAGCCTTGACTATTCCCTTGGGCCCCGTCTCCACCTGCACAGCATTGCCTCCAGGCTATTTTTGGCTGCCCTCACTTCATTCAGAAAAAGATCTAGAGCATCTTTTTCTGGAATACCCACCCCTTCCTTCCTTCCGTCTGTGTCTCCTTAACTTCTCTTAGTTTTCCTCATAGCAGTTGTTTCCTAATAACATGTTTTATGTGTGTTTTTCTTGTTGGTCTGTCTCCTCCCGCTGAGAACAGGCTCCTTGAGGTCAGGGGCTTCGTTTGGTTCACTGATGCGTCCCTGGCATTTGGTAGGTGCTCACTGACTATCCAGAAATGAATGACTAAATCAGATTTTCCTGATACCCCACAGCAAAAACATAGAAATAAATCTGATGATGAGGCTGATTAAAGAGCTTGGACTCAGGGGTCAGACTCGGGCAAGTGGCCTAATGTCACCCCCTAGTAAGTGGGCTTCGAGTGGGGTCTCCAAATACAGAGAATCTCTGGGTTGCGGCAGGGACTTTCACTGACTGCTGCCTGAGTCACTCGTTCTTTTTCCTTCATCAGGTGCATTGTTTCTCTGAAAAGCATCGCCCAGGTCAGAATGAAAGGAAACTCTCTGTGCAGACCGCTGTATGTGGGACCTTGAAGACGGTCAAATAGTGTTCAATTCTATAGCAAGCAGCTTTTCTTGTTCCCTCTGGAGAACACAGTTTTTGGTAAAAATTGGTCAGGTTATCTTATTCATAAATCCTCTTGAAAGACATGTCACAGTTCCCTCATCTGTAAAAGGCAGATTACAGCCCACCTTCTGCGAGCCCCTTGAGGGTTAGAGCCCTGCAGAGTGTGTGGCATATGGTTTGCCCTTAAAAAGCATCAATAGAGCAAATGAATATGTCACAAGGTTATCATGAGGCTGTGACAGTGTAACTGTCCCGGGAGTTCTGTGAGCTATGCAGCTTCATATAGGTTAGTTAATGTGCCAAGTATAATCTATGCTCTCCTATGCAGTCGGCAAGGATGAATCTTACGTTTCCAAGGCATTATTTATTAATTTCAAAAAAAGAAATGTGTAACATAGACTCTGGGAAGCAAGGTCATCTCCTTAGCTGCCCTTAGTAGAGAGGGGGGTGAGGCGCTGGCACCTAGGAAGGTCTTTGTGTCAGCTGTTACTTAAAGGCATTTCAAAACTTCCAGAAAAATGCACATTTCTGAGAGGTGTATATATCTTAACCCTACCAAGTATAGAATGTGAAGCTGAGAGGCTTACTGAAGCTCAGTATCTCGGCTGAAAATCCAATGTGTCACAGCATATTTTGCTAAAATCTTGAATCAATTGAAGAGAAGTCAGGCCCTTGAAATTTTGAGAACTAGGTGACATGTCTAATACTTGAGAAAAGTGCTTTTCACATCTCTAGGACAAGGTTTCTGCCTTTTTTTGCTTATTGGGTTAATTTTTTGTAATTTAATAGGAAAGAATGAAAAGGAATAGTATCCAAGGGAAAAGTTTTATGTTTTATAGAAAAGGAACACACCCATGGAACTGGAAGGAATTGATGATTTTTATTTCTATTATGCGTAAAGTGATTTAATGTTGCATTTCCTGATGTAGCTGTAACCAATATCAAAGTTGCTTTTCCTGGCTGGGCATGGTGGCTCACACCTGTAATCCCAGCACTTTGGGAGGCCAAGGGGGGAGGATCACCTGAGAGCAGGAGTTTGAGACCAGCCTGGCCAACATGGCAAGATCCTGTCTCTACAAAAAATGAAATTAGCTGAGTGTAGTGGCACATGCCTGTAGTCCCAGCGACTCGGGGAGGCTGAGGTGGGAGGATCACTTGATCCCAGGAGGTTGAGACTGCAGAGAGCCATGTTTGTGCCACTGCACTCCAACCTGAGTAAGAGCAAGACTCTGTCTCTTAAAAAAAAAAAAAAAAAGTTGCTTTTCCCGATGTAACTGTCACCAATATTTGTTTTTTCAGGGGATCTTCTCTGGATCAAGAAATGGTGGTGAAAAATGTTTCGCAAAGGCAAAAAACGGCACAGTAGTAGCAGTTCCCAAAGTAGCGAAATCAGTACTAAGAGCAAGGTAGGGAAATGGAA